TATATTTAGAACTTTAAAGACTAATAAAAATGAATAGCATGCAAAACACAATGCAATGTAAAAAACAGTAACCGTATCCTGGTTTATACCTGATTAAGTCTAAGTTTAGACCTGGTTTTTGATTTATGGTCCTAGTTACTGTGTATAAAAATAATGAATTCACATTTTTGATGATGTAGTAAATGAATCATCTGAGTTCTAGTTTAGTTCTGACTTTAGTTTTGGATTAGTCATGTGAAAAGTCCTACATTAAAAGCTTTATTAATTAATCATTTTGTTTTATTCAGGCTTTAGTCCTCGCTCTAATCACGTTATTGAAGGAAGCACAAGTGGCACCGTGTAAACAAAACAATTTAGACCTTTATTAGAACAAGATGGCTCTGGTAAAGACCCACTTTGTCTGGCACGTCCCTCAATGTGCAGCAGTAAAAACCCTAGTTCGTTTTAAGTTACTGTGTAGCTGTTCTTGGCTCATCCATCTTGAGTAATCCACGCTACATCTTCTCTTCCTGCATTAAAAGTTTTTACAGACAGGATCTTGCCCAAGGAAAGTATTTTTAAAAGACGGGAAGAAAAAAATGCTTGAATGGGAACTGAACTGCTCAATCTTTTCTGTGGAATGGAGGAAGCCAGATAATAGTCTGCTGTAATAGGAATCATGTGTGAAATCAGACTGTATTGTTTAATATGCTGGCACAGTCTAATAAGGGATCCCCTACTGGAGATTCATTAATGTTTCCGGTGGATTTTACAGTTAAAATGCAGGTTTAGTCATGGTTAGTTATGATGTTGTCAATGAAAAAAACGAAAAAGACAACGAAGCAAAAGAATTTCAATATAACCCAGGACCAAAAGAAGAGAAAACCAGACCTATTCAGGACTAAAGCAGGTTTCATCAATCAGGTTTACCACACTAAACATTTCTCTCAGCACTTAGCAGTTGTAGTTTTAGGCTTGGTTAGTAATAATAGCAATTCCATTCGTGGTAGAAGAAGCCCAGACCAAGGCCAGAGGGTAATTGGTGTAGTTTTGAAATTGCTTAGGTTTTTGTTTCATTTTAGCTAGTGTTTGTTTTTAATTTGCGTGGGCTATTTTTACTGACTAATGAAAGGAGATGTGAGAATAATGCAGTGCTACACTTGGTCTGACACAGGAGCTGGAGCAAAACTCGGTCTTTGTGGGCCAGTTGGACTCAGACCAGGACCCAAAAACATAGTGGTTGCTATGGAGTCTGAGGAACACTTCCCCTTTATAATTCAACCCCCGTCCCGCTCAGAGAACAAAGAAATACAGAGAGATGGAGGAATTTGAGACGTGGACTATTTGGTTTTGTGCTCCTGGTTTAATCCTGGTTTATTCCTGGTTTTACTCTTGGGTTGGACCTGGGTTGGACCTACATTAGTCCTTATTAACTCCAGTTTTACTATGTGTTCTAAATTAATTCTTGTTTAAAAGTCCTTTCTTCATATTAGCTGTTAGCAATGGTCATATTAGGTTTAGTTCTAGATTAGTTTTGGTCTTGGTTTCGTTCGCCTAAAGTAAGTTTCTGATTGGTGGCGTAGCAGGATCCAGCCCCAGGTTTCGGTCTTTTATGTGGACAGTCGGGATGAAAGGGGAGGGGTGACATGTTTGAACATAAACACCGAGAGGCCGTTAACAGTGTGGACAGACTAAATGACCTTTGAACCATGATACTTGGACAGACCGTGGTGGGCCATAAAACCATTCAGGCGCACAGCTGGAGCACAGATTAGATGAGATGTTATAAATTATAGTATCAGGTTAAGAGAATCCAACCAGATAACATCCATACGCAGATTAAAAAACAGCAAGCATTTTTTACTTTTGCTAATAATAATATCAGCTGTAATGTTTTGTTTAAGTTTTCAGTGTGTACCAAACTGTAGTTTCAAGTCTCATGTGTGATGTATACTAAATATTTGGCTGTATCAACAAGACCAAACAGACTACACACGCTAATTATCAGAGGTGGGACCAAGTTGTTGTTTTGCAAGTCTCAAGAAAGTCTCAAGTCTTTGAACTCAAGTCCGAGTCAAGTCCCACGTCAAATACAGGCAAGTCCAAGTCAAGTCTTGAGTCACTGGTCCATAAGTCCAAGTCAAGTCCAAGTCGTCTGCTTTGAGCTTCAAGTCATTTCAAGTCCTTAAACCAAAGCATCAAATATAGCTTAGATTTTTGCAGTTTATATGAATTTTAAGATAAACTGTACTTAAAAAAATAAAGGTATATTTATATATGAGTGTCTATAGAGTATATAAGAGTTGTAGAAATTTTAATTTTTCCTTTTTAAATGTCTTGGTAAGATCTTACTGTGAATCATTACGGTCAGAATAGAAAGAATTCAGATTTAAAAGTGCTTCTCAAGTTTTCTCAAGTCACAGGCCTCAAGTCTGAGTCAAGTCCCAAGTCATTGACCTTCAAGTCCAATTCGAGTCCCAAGTCTTACTCCATTTTATCAAGTCAAGTCTCAAGTCCTCTGCTAATTAGAATATTATATTTTTCATTAAACTTCTTTTTGTACTGGTCAGCTAGTTTAACCAATTTCCATTGAGGAAACTTTTGTCCTTATATATCCCATAAATTTGTATTTGTCTAATTGGAGTACATGAATATTTGACCAAGTATTAGAATGGTGTGTAAAGATCTTCACAGCATACCCCTGGAATAAATTATAGTGCTGCATAAATCAATTATAAAGTCTTGAAGTCTTGAAGTCTTGCTACTACAAATCTCTAGTTATGTCAGTCAGTTTTTTATCTAATCAATAGTTTAAGATCAACTAATTTCATTTCCCTTCTGTTCTATTCACCTCTTCAGTGCTTGCTTTTAGTTATCATTGAAAACATCTTGTGGAATCAGACATTGTTTTAGCACCTTTTTATACTGACACTTTTACTGCTGAAACTGTCAGTGCATCTACTTTTACATCCATCATGAGATTACAGTAGAAGGTGTTGCACGCGGAGGTCCTTGGGTTTGTTCTTGCTGCTGTCCAATCCAGTCTGGGATGTAACAGTGAGGAAATGAACAGTGTTTCCCCTCACGCAGCCAGACGCCTCAGCTCCACACGGCCAAAAAAGGAATCAAATCCTCTCTGCAGGACGCCAGAGCTGCCAAAACTATTCCTGTAAACGCGTTCTTCTGTGGAGGCCTGACCAGGAGATGGCCAGGGAAATGTACACAGAGAGATGGAGAAAGAGAGAATGGTATAGAAGTAAAGGTAAAGTCAGACAAACCGGTCAGACGTGTGGAGAGGCGAGTCCATTCACAGTGAGAACGCATGTTTTTCAAGGTAACTTTAGCAATAACAACACTAAGCAATAAACAAATGTAAGACTGATAAGTTAAATGAGATACATCTCCATGGGGACAAGCAGGTGATGGACCCTCCACCAGAAAAGTTACATCGCACTCTTTTAAGTCATGCTTTTGCTATTCAGGTGCCCTCACTGACCCCATATTCAGACTATTGGCTACTTTTGACTGTAATTTTCAGCTTTCACTTTAAGGAGACCATTTGTCACTGCTGTCAGCTCGTGTTGTGAACATTTGTAACACTTGGCTTATGGTGTTTGAGCCGTGTGCATGGGACAGGTCTGCAGCACAGAGAGACAGAGAGAGGGAGAAAGAAAGAGAAAGGGGAGGTGAGAGCTGCATTCTTAAACATGAAAAATAGTCCAACTGATTATTCAACATCTGGAAACTATTTAGCCTTCAGTCCTTCCTGGTCGACTCCTACAATGTGCACCGGGACATACAGTATATTTGTTACAAGCTGCTCATCACACACTCATCTTTGCCCTCCGCTCATTTCCAAAAAAAAAAAGCTTTCTTTTATAGTTTCTTTTGGTGAATTGAAAACAGGAGAGAAGAAAAATGTAGGTTAAGATGACATTTCAACATTCGCTGATTTCTCCCTCAGTGACATCATGTTTCAGAAAGTCTTTCCCAGTCACGCCTTTGTGAAACATCACAATCTTATCATCGTTCTGCTGTTGTATGGGCTGCCAAAATGTATAAAAATAAACCAACAACTTTTCGTCTTGAATGATTCACATATTAATTTGACTTTTTTTGTTGTTGGATGCCCTTATATGGGATTATCATTGCTATCATTTATAGTTTGCTACTAAATGTGTGAGAAATGATCTTATGTGGGGAATCCTATCTTGCATTGAATTTGCACAATCTTGGATCTGTGCCTGTATATGAAAAAATTGTAATTAATTATGTATAGTATAGCATAGTGTAGCATAGTACTTGAATTCTTTGAGACACAACTTTATCACATCATTGTTTTACTATGGAATGTTTCTTATAAGGCCTATTTTTTCATCATTCTGAAAAAATAGGATGGACAAGGGAAATGTCAGTTGCCTATTAGTATTCTCCTTACACCACAACATGTCCTGCTTTGCACTGACATTTTGATTGACAAGTCCATCAGTTACACTCACATCTGGGGTCCCACTCTTCTGTGTTTGGCCTTGACTTGAGCCGAGAGAGGGGCTCTGGAGTCATCCCTAAATTGGAAACAGCTGAATAGTTTCGCAACGGTTTCCCAAATGTGTTACTTTTCTGAAAACACTTCACCTTTCTCTAAAACATGACACTTTTAGTTTCTGAGTCTGGCACTGATGTTTTCCACAATCGTATGTCTCAATGGCTTTTGACATTTTGTGGTTGAATATGATTGATTAATCTAGTCATACTAAAGTTAAAACACTTTGAGTAAGCTGTTTCTACCTTGCAATATGTCAGTTTTTATATAGTGATATTGATATTTTGTAGTTCACTTATAGTAGTGTAAGTATGAATGTATTGTTGGTATTCAAAAAGTATTAACCAGCCACTAGGGATGTAGTGTATTGGCAGTAATTGTCTTATAACTTTTGTGTTGTGAAAAACATGGATTGTCCTACATAAAATGAAAGAAATTAGCCGAAAATTAAAATTCCTTCTATCTTCTGTCTCCATAGAAACGCATCCCAGATCAAGCAGCTTCAGGACCAGATCTTATTGGAGCAACAGGAAGCTGCACAGTGGCAACAACAGCACCTGGACCAGCTGAACCAGGAAGTCCCACCTCCACCCCAGCTCCCGCTACAACAGATACCCCCACCAGCCCCACCTGCCCCGCCTGCGGACGCCCCTCTCCCTGCCCCCCTTCACCGCCGCTCCCCCCCGCCCCCTTCATTTCAGGAGTTGGAGAGTAGCACTACCTCCACCGCCTCCGCCATCATGCAGGCCAGCACCTTCAACTATGCCCGTCCCAAGCAGTTCATTGCGGCTCAGTCTTCGGGCGTGTCCCCGTACTCCCCCACCACATCCTCACCCTCGTCCAGCCTGTCCTCCCCCCTCTCCCCCTCCTCCACCCATAAGCCCTTTGGCAGAGTTACCCTCCCGCCTTTCACTAAGGCACCCAGTGTGGAGTCGCCCGGCTCTCCCTCATTCCCTCCACCCCCTCCACCTTTCCTGAGTCCCTCAAACCTGCCCTCTCCGGCCCAGGACTTCCCCCTTCCCCTTCCTCCCCCTCCACCCCCTCCCCTGTGCCAGTGTCCCCCCCACATTCAGAGACCTCCTCGTCTCCCTTCTCCTCCGTGCCCGCCTCTCCTGCTTCTAGTTTTCTGTCCTCAGTGCTGCCTTCCCCTCCACCTGCACCAACCCCCGGCAGCCCCATCGTCAATGCCCTGGGACTTCCTAAAGGCAATGGCACTGTGTAAGTAACTGCCCTATTGTAAATGTGTTAATATTAACTCAAAAACCTAAAGTAGTTCAAGTAAAATGGTCTATCTAAGATGTTTAAGACCTTCTAAGCTCTAGCAGTTGCTTCCCTATAGCCGAAAGTCATATATTGTGTTCAGAGGTTTTGGTAATTCCAGACCCCATCCTTAAAGACCAATTTGTCTCCTTCTACTATCATCATGTCAGGGATGAGAAGGCCTTGTATTGAGCAACTGTAGAGCTTTGGCTTCACATCTGTCATGTTACATAATGTAGTTTAAACACTATACACAATCAGCAAAAGGAGGGGTTGCATGTTTATGGGAAGGTGCTTGGTTAAGATCTACAAAGGTACACAGACACAAACCATGGGTACATAACTAACAGCAAAGAACACAAGATAATGCATTTTTAATTATTTAAGTTTGTACTTGTAAAAGAGGAATCAGTTATAAGGTAAGATAAATCAGTTCTAAGATAAGATAAAATGTTTTTAATCGAACAGTGGCACATGTCACGTGTCAAGCCTGTTGTAATATATGATTGCACATAGCAAGAAATTCTTTGTGCAATTAAAAATCTAAGATAAACACAGGTATTTTTTATCACATGAAATGGTCCTCTCACGCAAGTGCTCAGTAGAGTATGCATGCAGCTGGAGTGGAGCATACCCCAGTGTTAATGGACTTTACATGTAGATCCTGGTCAAAGTGAGCTGTTTTTCTGTTGCACAGTTCAGCTTTCAGATCTCTTTCACTTTAATACAGCTGCTCAACTGATTGAAATGTGATAGATCATGTCTTTTTTAACACAAATTTGCCTTTTTCTTCTTATCCGCCGACATTCCACCTTTATGTGTTTGTCAGTCATTTTTCATCACTGTTTAGCTCAGCACTGCCCTCCCTTCCCACAGCAGCATTCCAAGGTAGATAAGAAGACACCGCTCCAGCTGGACATGCCCAGATAAGGTCCAGTTTTAGGCCCAAATGATTTTTATGCTGACAAATACTTATGTGTGTTTTTAGGAAAGCGTTCCCCAAGAAGTCAGTGAGTAGGACACCCCGTATTGTGTCAGACTCAGATATCCAGGGATCCAAAGACGCCGTAATTCAAGATCTGGAGAGGAAACTCCGATTCAAAGAGGAGAGGATCAGCAATGGGCAACAGGTATGTGTGGTCGTCATTGGTCATCATAATCATTCATCATATCATGAGGTTTAAGCAGAGGTGGGATTTAGATTATTAATATTACTCAAATAATGTTAAACTTTTTTGAGAATGTTATACTCCTTTACTTTTTTTCCTAAACTGGGTTTTATAAAGTACTGGTCATTAGAGCAATGGAAAGTCATAAAAACCTCATATATAATACTTATATTATTACAATACTTAATAATATATATTTTATTTGTACAAGTACTACATGGATATACAACTCACAACACACTTGGGGAGGAATGATTTGTTATTTAAACCCAGAAAGAAATAGAAAAAAAGCAAAGAAGGTTCAACATTTTTGTTCACTTTTTTTGTTTTTCTAGTGCTCACTTTCTTAAATATATAACTACATAATTACTTTTTTCTTGTGTGTTCATTTTGAGAACTTTTTCCACCTCTGCTGTTTGTTTAATTGTGTGATCTCTATAACCAATTAACAAAACAGGGACCCCATTTGGTGTTTTGAGGCGTTTCTAACTCGGATATTTAAATGTTTTGATGTGGATATGATGTTTACCGTGTGCGTGGCTGCTCTCACCCACTAACCCGCTGCTTCCAGAGGTTAACCTATGAGGAGAAGATGGCACGCAGACTGCTGGGAGCTGACAACGCTGCCACAGTCCTGAGCACAGACACAGAGGAGGAGCCCGTCACACAGGTACAGTCCAGGCTCCACCATAGCACTGTGATCATGCATGGAGATCTATGATGTTACAATGCACAGCTCATTACACTGTGCTGCTGATGGGCCAGGAACATCTTTGGAGTCATAAATTGGTCCCTGTAAAGTGTAATGTAACAAAAAAAACTTCTGGCAAGATGATTTTTGTTGATTACATTAATACAAGATAAAAGATTCAATAATTATCAATCTTATAGTGTGAGTATCAAGTGTAATGCATAACATAGACACACAAAGCACAATGGCTAACACTATTATACACAACAAAGGAAACTATTGACCATGCTTTTGAAATTTAATAAACATTTTTACAATCAGAACATATATTTCTTAAACTGAACTCATATAGCATCATAATAAGGTGATAGGATATTTCCATGGTTAGTCCTGATGGAAAAACAAAAAAAAAGTTCCTGGCTTTTCAGCATCACAGAGAAATCAGTTGGTGTCACTTTGAAACCCTCTTTCTTTCTTTTTCACCACTTTTCCATAAGATCACACACGCACCACCATCTTGTTTGGTTGACTTTGAAAGCTGGGTATAAACATTGTAAAGTGCTCCAGACTCCTCCATAAATAGCTCTGTTTATGAAAACTTCAAGCAGCCGGTCTGTGTTACGGCTCAGGGCTGACATGGTTTGAAGGAGATATTATTACTTACTGTAATTATTCCTCTGACAGTACCACAAAACTGTTCATGTTCAGCTTGTAAAGACATCCTATATCCCGGTAAATTAATCCAGGTTCAAACTTATCCTAGTGCAAAATTTATTATCAAAACAAGATTATACCAGGGTCAGTAATTCAAAGAGTTAAACTGCTAAATTAAAATTGAATAAGAAATAACTTCATATTGACTTAATCTATATAAAACTTATACTACAACTTAACCCAGAATAACCCTGAAGTAAATGAAACCTTAATACAAAACTGCATACATACATTTGCTCTTAACATGCACATACAGTGAATAAATGCTAACCAAATCTAGTTAAAATGTACAGTAACCTTTGATCCTGCCTGGTTTGAGCATTAAAGTGTTGCATGTGGTTGTACATTGAGCCAGATGTGGAGGATATTGGGTTTCTTTGGGTTTTGAAGTTTTACAGTGATGTTGTGCATGTGTTTGCTAATTGTGAGTTTAAAAGCCACTTCGTTTGGACCATCAACACCCTTGTACCACACATAAAGTGTCTCTAGTGGCAGAGTTTGACAGCAGTAAACACAGGCAAAATATTTTCTTTTCTCTCAACAGGAAGACAAGGCAGCAGAGTCTTACCTCCAAAAGGTTAAAGTTTTATCATTTAAATCACCAGTTGTGTCATTCACTTTGTCAAAAATATGTTTCACAAAATTTTACTTTTGGGTTTTAATAGTGAGTGATTGTAAATATTTGCTGTATGTAAAGCAGCAAGAATAAATCTGTAGTCATACATATTAGTTCACTATGTACACTAATACCCATATTTTTCAATTTATGGTCCAATTTAAAATCTTAGAAAATAAAAACTACTCCTTTTTGCTGGGCCAAATCATATTATATTTTGCTTTGCTGTAAGGTGCATCTTTTGATAGTAACTGCATTGGGCTTGGCTTGTGCGCCATTTTTTGTTATGTAATATCTTATGTAATAATAATTAATAACAAAAATGGTCATCGGTAGGGCTGGGTATCATTAAGAAGTTGCCGATACAGTAAATACCTTAATACAAAAAAAAATAAAGCCTAGCTCATGGCTGTCTTTGTTAAACCACTTCATGTGCAAAGTTAATATGAAACACACCCATTTTAATCATCAAAACAGTGAAAATGTCAAATGTTTTGCATAAATAACTTTCCTTTCTCTAAACAAGCAACAAAACTGTAGCGCTGTAACAAAATAATTTAGTAAAATATACAAAAAAATACTCTTGGCGATATATCGATACAGCAGACCACGATATCGATCCTGTATCACCACATTAAACAATACGATATATGGATATTTTAATATTTTTGCTCATCCCCAGACATCAGACAGTTTCTTTTAAATCTGAGGATGTTTCACCTCCCATCTAAGAGACTTGACTACTTTTTGAAAACATACTGCACCAAGAAATACTTCTGGTTGAATGAAGTATTAGACTGACATATTCTGTTGAACTTTTTGGTATAATTTGTAGCATGTCCAAAACCTAAGACACACTTTTGCTTTCAACTTTCTCTGCCACGTAAAGCACGGAGCAGCTGATATTGAAATAGCCCATAAGTGGCATTTACATAAAGTCAAAACAAACTCCATCAAAAGGATTCACCACAGCAGCTGTTCTTTCGACTCCGGTCAGTTCAAGATTTAAGATTCATTGTGGCTCTGCGTGGTGCGTTCAAGGACTGCAGCTGTGTCTGAACCCTGTCATTATCAGAGTCATGTGTCATCGGACCACTGCAGCTCACAGATGTTCAGCCTCTCTCCCTGTAGTGATGACAGACTGATGAGCGGGCAGCGGGGAGTGGCACTAAAATTGAGATCGAATGGAAATTTTTGATATATTCACGACTGACTTCATAGTTTCAGTAGTTGCTCTCGATATATTTGCTTTTTTATTTATTTGAAGAGCATTTGTATCATAACTAGTACATTATTCTATCTTTTTAGTAACTTTTGCTTTTGACCTGAAGTGTTTCTGTGTAAGAATAACCAAAATATAAAGTGGACATAATATATCAAAACCCCAATGCCTTAATGTACATATACAGATTTATAATTTTCACCTGAAATGTTGAGGTGCATTTTACTTTACTTCTAGTGTCAAAATAAAAAAACTGCATCATTTTTCAGGGATTCAAACACATTGCTTTGCTTTCATTTTTCAGTATTGACAATCCTGGTTAGAACCCCTTCACTGTCCTTTTCACACTGTTCCTTCTGCTGTCTGACCCCACGTGCACCTTCCCTGTTTATCCACACACCTCCCGTCGTCTAAAAACCTCTGTGTCTTTATTACCTGCAGGAGTACAAAGTGTCGAGCTTCGAGCAGCGTCTGATCAGTGAGATTGAGTTTCGGTTGGAGCGCTCCCCTGTGGAGGAGTCGGACGATGATGTACAACACGACGAAGACTGCGCTGACGGAGAGGCGCCCGCGTTTGACCAGAAACTGAAACACTGCAAAGTCTTTGAGGGGATGCCTGTCACTTTCTCCTGTAAGGTCACCGGAGATCCTAAACCAAAGGTAACATGGGAGATGATTTTTTTGACTTGTATTTATTTAACCTTTATTGCACCAGGGGCGGTTGAACTAAATGACATGTAAAATATCCCTCTTGGGTTTAATCAGTGGTGCGTCAGAGCTGGTGGCTGGTGCTGACGGCTCATGTTTTGGATGGAGGGCGTAGAGTCAGAGCGTACGCAGTGTGTTGTGATAAGAGAGGCCCCTGACACACTGATGACAGGAGACAGGAAGTGGGAAAAACCTCTTTAGACAGCAGATTACTCATTTGGGACACGGTATTTAGTGCTAAGTAGTGTGGCTAACCACAAATGCTGGTAGATTTTAATTTTGGCTTCGACGTACTTAAAAAAATACACACATTACATTTTGATAATAATTAGTCATCAAATTCACAAACATGACCTCAAATAAATGAATGTCCTGTTTTGGCAGGTGTACTGGTTTAAAGATGGTAAGCAGATTTCCAAGCGGAGCGAGCACTACAGGATCAGCCGGGACCCAGACGGCACCTGCTCCCTTCACACGGCCTCTGCCTCTCTGGATGATGACGGCAACTACACCATCATGGCCGGAAACCCCATGGTGAGAGGTTTAATATTGAATATGTACATAATACTAAATATATTACAAAATACTAAAACATAATAAGAAAAAAAGACCCAACTCGCAAAATTACTCATCATTTTTCACACTTTTAATGTCATTTTGCATTTATTTCAGTACTTTTAAATTATTTTTTATTGCTCGTGCTTGTTATTTTCACTAGTTTTATGAGATCTGGTTCTCTCCCAGACAAGACCTGAATGTCAAAATAATTCGTGGTACAGACCTTTCCATAAATTGGATTGGATAAATGTCTGTCATCAGAGAGACAAATGATGAGTACTGAGTTAAGAGTCTGAACAGGAAGTGGGAGTAAAAGGACAAAGGAAGTAACCAAAACCCCGATGAGGTCAGAGTTTGCAGCTCTGACTGATCACATTTGAGTCTGGAGTTGAGCCAAACCATTTGAAAACACATGAGCAACACAGGACCACTAAATCACCGTGGCTCTGGTCTAGTCTTGTCCTCAATTAGACCTGGTTTTGTGAATATTCTTTTGCCGTATGTCCTTGCTTTGTCAGATCTAGTTTAACTCAAGACTAGTACTTCTTAATTACTGCCTTTTAAACATTTTTCATATCTCTAAGGACAATTATTTTTAGGGCATACTTGATGTGAAAAGTTTAAGAGTTTGGTCTAAACATGTGTGTTTTCGGTCTCAGGGCAGAGTGAGCTGCACGGGGCGGATGATGGTGCAGGCTGTGAACCAGAGAGGACGCAGCCAGCGCTCCACACCGGGACACATGCGCAGGTGATTATACACACATATTCACCTACAATAGTGCTGTTTAATGCAGTTATGTCATTGTCCATACTGTACTAATTAGGACTTATGTAACATCTTATCCCTTTATTATCAGCAATTGGTAACCATAACAAAACATGATGAAAGACTTAATTCATAATGAGCAAATAGTTTTATATTAAGGATGATTCAATGATTAGTAACTATTACTACTAATCCCTAATTCTAACCCCTTATTTAAGTAATAATCCTTCATAAACTCTTTGCTCATTGTGAATTAAGTCTTTCCTCGTGCTTTATTAAGGCTGTAATTATAGTGTGTAGTTATTATAACCAGCAAATTAGTATAAGGTCATTTTGATTGCGCATAAAAATATTACTGTCCCATCTCTTATCTACCTATAGGCAATATTCCCTCGCTGAAACCCTAATACAAAGATATACTTACAAACACTTTACCCTTTCATACTCGTGGTGTGTTATTGGAGCACTCCCTCAGACACATAAAGAGATAGAGATCGGCTCGTCCCGAACTCTGCGTGCAAATCCCACAGTGATGTCATTGTTGTTTTAGGCTGGAGAGGCAGACTTTATAGCCCACCATAGAGAGTTAGAGAGCCCAGAAAACAAAGTCTCGTCTAAAGGAAAATACTACTATTGATAATAACTAATATAGTCTAAGGCATCGTGTTTGTGAGCCAATGGTGGTGATCGGCAGCCACACTTCAGTCTACCCCAAGGCAGATGTGGCTCAAGTTTGCCTCCAGCAATTATAGAGCATGGAATAATGGTCAGCTCTAGCGCTTTGAGAATCTTGCCAAAGAAAACCGAAGCCATTGCTATACTCTATATTTGCAACTAACAAAACAGAAGATTTACGATGTTGTGATTAATGATTGGTTGGATTTGGAAGCCTTTTAGCGAAGATTCTGCTGGCATTAATCCAAACCATGTCCATGTTTAGGTCCCGATCGCGTTCCAGAGACAGCGGAGACGAGAACGACAACATCCAGGAGCGTCACTTCAGACCCCACTTTCTGCAGGCGCCCGGAGACCTCATCGTGCAGGAGGGGCGGCTCTGTAGGATGGACTGCAAGGTACACAACATAATTACAACAGGGATATGTTTAAGCCCACTGAATTTGGGTGGGAAGACTTAACATTACGGTGGGAAACACAAAGGCAGATCTGTAACACAAACGTAAAGTAAGTTTGATTGGGGGACACCCATCAGAGACTTAACTAACAACTTTCTTGCTTTTAATATAAGTGGAAAAATTACCTCAACTTTGCATTAATTTCAAACTTGTGTGACTTTTTATATACAAAAGTGACCACATTAATTGGTTTTACCCATCTCTGGAAATAGCCTTCTTTGGGTCAAAATAGTATTGGGCCAAAGGCAGTGCAGTGGTCTAGGTCAAAAATCTAAATCACAGTTATAGTCAGTGCCTTTTAATCTACCGCTTCATTCAGGAAGGCTCCAAGAAACACAATCCTTTCTGTGAATTGAGTTTGAGGCAATAAAACTCCAGAGACGAAATGTTTCTCCAATTTACTTTGTTTTGAATGGACGCCATACAGAAGTGTCGACTTTCATGGATTGAGTGGGATTGAGTTTTTAGACAATTCAATTTTATGTTTTTGCCGAATAACGTTTAGCTCATTTTGCCCTGGTTTGCCCCGTTGTGTACTCGAATGAACCCTTTGAAAACGCAACCTTGTAAAACTAGGCAGCAATTAGTCCACTATAAAAAAGTGGATGGTTAGACATATTCAGTTGCTGCTGTATCCATGTATTTTTCTCCCATAGTACAAATATCTTGTAGCAGGAAGGAGCAGATATCTTTTATTACATAGGATTTTATAGAAAGACATTATCAGCTTATATGGATTTTTTTGGCTGTGGGTTTATCTGCCTTGCCAACATCAAATCATTGTCAAAACATTGTCTAGTGTTAATTGAACTTTATTGATAAAACATTTTCAAAACAGCACGCAAATTATGTAAGACAGAACTTTGGCATTTTTGTTCTTACAGAGCTAAGGTTGAAGGGTAAAAACATGCACTATTTATAGTCAATATTTCTTTCACATCGCTTGCTGCCGTCCAACCTTACGGAGCTAAAAATGTCCTGAGTGTATTGGGCGTCTTCCAGAGGGGCTCTGATTCTGTGCACTCAATCAAATATGAGCTGTTTTCACTCTATGTTTTTGATGGACGCCAGTACACTAGGACAACCACATAAACACAGACAAAACACATTAACTACTGTTTTCATTTTCCCAAGGCTAATCTTAAGTTAATCACAAATTGAATACGAAAATGGAAAGAATATAACATTTATATTACTATTTATATTAAACCATTAGCCAGTGGATGAAACCTCTGGATGTTAGGAAACAGTAGCATGCAGAGGATTGGATGTAGCCTGACTCATCAGCCGGATTCACTTCGTGGAAACCGTCTAACCTCGCAGCAGTAGGATTCGTTCACTCGTCAGTAGGGGGGTACTTTTTTTATTTAACCAATCACTGGTATTTGGTCTTGGCGTATATAATGCGCCGCTAACGGGGCTAACTGGTATATTAAGCTTTTCCCAAATCCTATAGGAAGAATGGTAATAACGCCTTTCCCCTTGATAAAATTCACCAAACATTCCCTTTGTTCCCGGCTTTAAATCCTCGATCTCAGAAATTGCCGTCGCCAACATAGAATGTACGGATCTTCACTGATTGGCTGGTGCCTGAACTCGCATTTCCGGGGTATTTGCAAACCATCTAGTGTATTCTAATTCCTGACCTAGTCACTGGAGAAAAATGAAATTGAGCAGAGGCACTAGGTGGTGCCAGCCTATCTTGTTGGGTTGGGGATCAAACCAGAAAACTTCAGCCACTGGGTTCTACCAATGGATCTGTACTGTCACTCTAAATTACAACTCAAATAGAGGTAACAGTATAGAATAATTACATAAGGGACACCAATTTAGAGCATGGTGACATAGGGTATTCTTCCAGATAAGACCATGCTAAATTAAGATCTGGAGTGGGTCCACTGCTTGTGAGAGGTTGCCCAAGCGGCAGGGATAGGACAAATATCCCTACAGGGGGTTAATGTGAGAGTACCCCACCTTGGTCACATAGGTGTTGTTCTAGTACCTATAACCCACAATAAGATTTCATAAAATTGGTGAATGGTAAATGGTAAGTCATCAGAAAATATAGATGTAAATAACCTTGCTTGTATTGTTTGCCTTGTGTAGGTGAGTGGTTTGCCAACTCCAGACCTGGTGTGGCAGTTGAACGGTCAGACAATCCGCCCTGACTCCGCCCACAAGATGCTGGTGAGAGAGAACGGAGTGCACTCTCTGGTGATCGAACCTGTGACCAGCCGCGACGCTGGCATCTACACCTGCATCGCCAGCAACCGGGCAGGCCAAAACTCCTTCAACCTGGAGCTCATAGTAGCAGGTAAATCAAGTGAAGAAAATAAAAGACCGGAATGGAAATAGTGTTGTTGAGTTTCAGAGGACATCATGGGTGGTAGGCAAAGTTAAGGAAGTTATTTTTCAAGTTTGGGATTTTCTTGTAGCTACTTCACGTGCGTGGTCAATAATAATAAATAATTAGATTTGACATCTGAGGAGTTTCTTTCTGGATTTTTGCTATCAAAATACTCTCTATCTAGCATCATTTCTGAACAAGGGTTAACCCGGAAAACAGAATAAAAAACTGAACTAAACCAAATCACTGGCCTGAATTCAATGTCAGGGTTATAAGAATGTAAGTTCTTAGAGGGAAAGGGGCAAACAAAAGTGTCTAAAATGAATGATTATTTTATCTGCAGCCAAAGAGATGCACAAAGCGCCCTCATTTGTGGAGAAGTTACAGAACACAAGTGTGGCAGAGGGACACCCTGTTCGTTTGGAATGCCGTGTCACCGGTGTCCCGTATCCTCAAATCTTCTGGAAACGAGAGAATGAGTCCTTCACCCACAACACAGACAGAATCAGGTACACACTGAAAACGCACTTAAATTTGATTTTATGCTGTGCTATAATGTTTGCTGTTACTTCAAATATGATTAAAACTACAACTTATATTTATATGCTTATATGCTACAGAAACAGTTGTTGTTACTCTTGTTTATAATGTTTTGCTGCAGTGTTTTATAATTGTATCGTTTTGTGTTTTCTTCCAGCATGCACCAGGATAACTGTGGTTACCTGTGCATGATCATCCAGCCAGCAATGAAGGAGGATGCTGGTTGGTACACAGTGTCAGCCAAGAACGAAGCCGGGATCGTCTCCAGCACTGCACGACTCGATGTCCACAGTAAGTATGAGCACATTTAGACATTCATACAGTAACATACCTAATTATTTACAAAACTATTTACTTTGAGTTATTTATATTAGAACGAAACACATTTTACAACTTGACATCACCTCTGCCATAACATGTTTGTGATTAGACAGATGGGTGCTAGTCTAGATGTAAAACAAGTTAAAAACCAATAGAGCAATAGTCCATACTTAAACTATTGGTCCTAAATTTAGTTTTGATTTCATGAACATTAACAACACATGAAACTGAATTTGAGCCTGCAGAAATGCTACTTGGATGTGCAGGGATCAGTTTAACACAGAAAATAGTTATATTTATTCCCCCAAAGTCTGAGTTCTGCTCCAAACCACATGCTTTTATTAACAGAGGATTGGCTGTAGATCTCTTCATTAATGATGCATAACAGTGGTTTCTCGATCTCTCTTCTCCAGCTCAGTGGCAGCAGCCCAACCTCCCAAAGCCCAAGAAAGTGCGCCCCTCAACCAGCCGCTACGCTGCTCTGACGGAGCGAGGCCTGGACGTCAAAGCCGCATTTTTCCCAGAATCCTCTCCACTGCCTCCTGGTGGTCTGATTGAGAGTGATGACCTGTAGAGACACAACAGGAAGAACACCAGAAAAATATTTTTGAAAAACTGCCCCATGCCGTGCACTCGCTCCTCAGATACTTTTACTGCAACAAAAAGTGGGTCGGAAAGTAACTTTGTCAAAACGGACTGCTATAAATGACAAAGTGAATCACGGCAAAAGGGGTTTTAATGTTTATACTGATGATATATATTTTATTTAGAGTCTCCCTAAGCCTTATTATATTAACTGGACCTTATCAGCTCACTACAAAAGGTTGCCTCTTCAAGTGCCTATCAATTCCATGTATGACAGCAGTATAGAAAGTGCCATGTGCAAAAGCCTTTTCACAAATTCATATCTAAATCACCAGCAACCATGTAGGAAGCTTTTAAAATGATTCATAACATGACGTGGGAGAAAAGGTTTTGTTAAAATATTGTGTTGCATTTTGAAAGTAGGAGCACACAACACACAATGTCAGTATTGGGTCACGTAGTAGCGTTGATATTGGAGGCCGGGCCTTAAAAACAATAGGATTTTTTATTAATATTCTGAAGGAAGAAAGACGGTTGGTAAAAGATAGATTGTAAGGGATATATAAGGCATTTTGTGAGGTGTAGTGTGTCTATATGGTAAAGAAAAGTGGGCATGTTTTGCTATGGATGTCAGCAGTGATGCAAACAGATGATATTTGGCTGTGGTATGTTGGAAAAATGTGGGAAAAAGGTGCAAAATGTTAATGATTTTTTTCTTGTTTTTTCCATGTTGTGTGAACTGACACTCAAACAGGGTGCTGTGGTAGTTTGCCTGTCACATCACCATTTTATTTTTGTATGTAATAAAACAATCTACTTTCCCATAAAAATAAGTTATATCATGTAGCTTTTGTTCACAGTTCTGTATCATGTTTTATAACTATATGTACTGCCTTAAATCATGTTGAAGGAAAGTGCTTCTTTCTTGGACTTTCTGATGCCAAACATTGTGGCTCTTGGACAGGAATGAAAAAAAAAGAGAAGATACCGTGCTAGAATGTGTTTTCAGAGAGGTGAAGCACAAAAAAAAAGTTTAAAAATGTATAAAACATTAAAAAGCAATAGACAAAAGCATCAAAGTAAAATTGCACCATCCATCCTAACTTTTTTACACCTTGCTCTGTTTCTGTATCTACTCTCTCAGTCACTTCTGTATCACACGACAAAGTTGACTCAAACTTACACATTTGCACATTTTTATGCCAATGGACGCCTGTATATGGATTGTTCTCCTGATGTTATTTTGGGATATGAAAGTTAATAAAGGCTTCAGAGACAGTGTGTTATGTTTATTGACACAATAAGACTGAAAGGCCCAAAAATGTGCTCAAAATTTCAAAATAATGCTGCAGGTTTTAAAACAAGTCCAAGTCACTGCATTTCTGTTGTGTTTCGTTGAATTGAGATGAGAGGAAAATGAATACGATTAATATGGAGATTCGATGTGGTGTAGTGAGGTTATAGCTCTAATAAATAAAAAGGATTTACTTAAATACAATAAATAATCAATATAGACAATTAAATCTTCCCTGAATCTGAGAGTGTGGCACCATCTTATTTATTTATGATGATTAACTTTTCAAAAGAAACAATAAAAATGTAAACTATGAATCTTAAAATAACATTTGAGATTTTAGAAAAGGAGACATTACAGTAAAAAGACTATAAACAATATTTCTCAAAAGTAAAACCCCAGAATGTCCTAAACTAAGTAGAAGATATCATTAAAGCACTGACAAAATGGAACAGCAGCTCTTTTCTAAATTGTTTTAATCTTGTTATTGGTCAAAGCAACAATTAAAAAAAGAACTTGAACTGAATATAGTTCATATAATATTCATATTTCCCATTCATTTTATTCATAATTACAGTGCCCTACTTTTAGGACATTTGTAAAATTAAATCAGAAACAGACGCAGTGACCTCATCAGTCCACACTTGGAGTCCTGCAGTCGTAACTAAACACTCAAAACATTCCCCAATCTAAAAATATGCCCCTGGTACCTCCAGCACTCCTTTAATCTCCTCCAGCTGTGGCGGACACGCTGGGCCCCTCCAGAGGTGGGGTAGGCCCGCTGTGAGGGGCTCTCCTCAGGGACCAAAACATGAAATCAATACTCCACTGTCACTGAATAGGAACGCGTTAAATGAGCCAATCGAATCTGGGACGTCCGGGCAAAAATACTACAGACATTTTGGAGTCAGAAGTGTTAGTCAGTGAAATGTTTCGTCTTTAGTCTAGTAAAGTGGGTTAGAGTTGCTTTTGACACAGATTTGCATCTGCATTCGACCCATCCTCCAAGCCCAACAGGGAAACCTGTCAGTAACTGTGGATGACCGCATTGCAGCACCCGGGGATTCATCTTGAGTTTGGCTTGATCAGGATTAACTCACTTTCAAATTCAGTGAGGTCCTTTACATTGCCAACTGCAGCCCTCCATCTACCACCAGCACCTGTCCAGTGACATAAGGAGACTCCAGGAGGAACAGTGTTGCCTGGGCCACTTCCTCCGGCTCCCCAAATCTGCCCAATGGAACAGCACGCACCCTCTCATCTGTCACCCCAGCAGTCATGTCAGTCTTGATGAAACCTGAGGGAAAGAAAGTAAACATGTAAACATGTAGTCAAAAAGAGACAGTAACACAGGTGGTACAGTGATTGCCTTATAACAAGAAGGTCTGTGTTTCAGATTAATAAATTATGAATTGATGTAATCTAAAACCCAAAGTTAAAGAGATGATTCTGCCTTGCACCTGGGGCCAGTAGGTTGACCCTGATTTTGCGAGACGCAACTTCTTTGGCCAAAGAGCGAGTGAACCCCTCCAGTCCTGCTTTACTGGCACTGTACAGCGTCTGACCAGCATTTCCTTTAAGACCCACCACTGAACCTAAAAAAACATTCACACACAACAAGCTTGTTATAAATACAATGGAAAAAATATGAACAAAAATCTGACAGTGGTACATCAAGTCATAGTATGAAGATAGGGCATAGTTTTTGGGCAATTATGATCTTACAAAGTGTATCTCCATATGAATACGATTGAGTTAAAAAATTATAATTAAGTCCTTTATTACAGCCCTTATTTATTTTTATACTGAATAAAATCTGCACACAAGTAGAGCCAGCTGACAGCAATTCAATCATACAAAATGATTAAGTCATCAATTTGGATTAGTGTCTGCGAATCTATGCTGCCATCTACTGTTCAATAGAAAAGAATACAGAGACAGTACCAATATTGACAATAGCTGCATCTTTGGTGTGGAGCATGCTCCTGAGCGCCGCCCTACAGGTCAACATGGAGCCCAAGAGGTTTGTGTGGAGCACTGACACCATGTCCTCAGGACGGGTTCTCAGTAACAAAGCATCTCTGGAGATAAACAGAAAGCAAAACAATCATTTATAAAGCATTATTCCTATGAAATGTCCATATATCAGAGTTTAAACTTACAGATTGATACCAGCTGCGTTCACAAGATAAGTAATATTTCCAGAGTTTTTCTGGAGCGTTTCAAATGTCTTCTGTACATTTTGCTCCTTGGAGACATCACAACTAAAAGAAACATGCCCATCTATGGACAAGGATAATTTTATTAGTAAAACACACAGTGTTCAAGCTGAGCAAAGCTGGTGAAATCCTACAAACTACACAGAAATAGACTCTTCACTCAGTCTAAATTAGGTTGATTGAACTGGCCCCAGTGAATACAGTGGAAGGTCTTTAGCTTGCTTCCTGTATCGTACTGAACTTTCTGTTTAGAGTTTGTTCTATTTATGGCTGCATAAGTTTCCTCTGGGTACGCTGGTAGTTTCCCCAAACACTTTAGACTCTGACAGTCCAGGTAAAGTCTGAATTGCTGTTGATAAATGTTATAAAATGTTAATATTCTTTGTATTATTAGTTTAGAATCTAAAATAATATTGAGTTTATAATGAAGATGTTTTCATTTCATGCTACATGAAGACACCTGTGTGGCATTCATCACTCTTAATATTTTAAGCAGCATGAATTACCTCAATAAACACCACAGCCCTTGTGTCAGTGATGGACTCATACACTACAGACTAGAGTTACCTCCGGGTAAAGAAGCCACGGTGTCCCGGGCAGAGTCCTCATTCCTGGACAGGACAGCCACCCTGCAGCCCCTCAGCGCCAGGAGCCGGGACACGGCCCTCCCGATGCCCCGGGACCCCCCGCAGACCACCGCCAACCGGGACATGACCCTGAACACAACACAAAGAAAGATCAGTGCAAATCAAATCATATCCTAGAGGTAAAGCCAAAGAAGAAATGCTTTAAAATGTATTTAGTGCCCAATTATTTAAAATAAATCCTGAAATTTAGTTTATATAGTATAATCAGTGTTAATATTTGTCACGCCTTACTTCGTGGTTTTTATAATAAAAATATAGTACATTTTACAAATAAAAATTATTATAACATACTCAGTAAAATAACTTTGATTGTTACCTATGCATTTGTTAAATCTTACCCTTCAAACAAAGCGCATCTTCGAGTTTTATCACATCAAAATAGAGATTCAGTGGAACAGGCATGTTATGGACGCCGCCATGTTTCTTCTGTGTTGTTGCGTTACCCCACATTGGCCAGTAGAGGACGCGCCTCACCCACTGTAAAGCTCATTGACTGTATGGAAATGGCTTAAAAATGAATTCTGCTGGGGTTCAAACTCATGGAGTTAGCAGCATTTGTTTATGGTTATAGTGTTTTTCTTTGTGGGAAGTTTACTTATTGATTGATGACACTTAAAAGTTACATTAAAACTGCCTTTTGGTTGTGCTACATTTTACAACCATTAGGTCAAGGGAAGAAAACATATTAAACAAATGTAATTATTCTATAGTATACAGTTCTGGCAATGAGGTTATTGATACAAATTGGGTGTATGATAAAAAGACCCTCTTGTACAACATAGTCTTTTTCCTCCTATACATTATCGTTAAGTGTCCTCCTGGGTCTACTTCTTTAAGACATCTATTTATATGAAGGACATATGCAAGCCAGATTTCCCTGTAGTCCTTTACTGAAATAGCTCAGATCCATTGCACTCATGTATTCCCTGATTATGTCATTATTCTCAATGGAAACACAACTTTGCATATGCGGTCATTACACAGTGAGGGATGTTAGAAGTAGGTGGCCCTGGCTCTGTACACCTGGTCAATCCATCAGCACAAACAGAATCGATTTGGAAATGCTAAATCAGTTTCACAACCTGTGTCTGACCGGACCTGTGACCTCCTCAAGAGTAAATCTTACTTTAGTCCCTTCAAAACACCACATGGGCCCCAAAATGTGCACTGTAAAGTTAAGAGGAGGGGGTGGACTTTTTTTTTAACTTAACCTTACTAGTCCCTTACTGGACTCTCAAAATCACTCACATAAAGGAGCAAAGTTTTTTTTTATTTTATTTTTTTTTATTAAAACTACTTATTCTTATTTTTAAAAACACATAATTTTGTATTTATAATGAGTCATAGTGAGTTAGAAGTTATTCATTCAACCCACTATGGCTCAAATCTGATTGTAATACTGGAAAATTGCAAAAGGTTCCCCATAGAAAAAGTTACAATGATAAATACTGAGCCCCAAAATGATCTATCATTTATTAAATGATAAGTCGATATATATTATTTATCGTGACAGCAGGCGTATGTACCTGCACCATAGTTCGATACTCACTGTACTCCCAAGTACATAAACTATATTAACAGAGCAGAGAGTGTTCCCTTGTGCTCATTATTTGTCCTGTCCATAGCCTCCTGGTTTAATCTAAGCGTGACAGTGCTGTAAACGTGTGTGTATTTCTCTTCATGCATCACCTCACGTCCCTGACATTTACACAGCACATAGTACATGTGTCCTGGAGCACTTTGTTTCCACTGAGTTACCTTCTGAACACGTTAACTGCCTATAATCTGCCCTATGTCACTACTACAGAAGCATTTATTTGTGCATTTTTACCCATACATTTGCTGCAGAAATATTGCTCAATTTGTCAAAGACACAGCTCATAAAGGACATGGCCTAATTGCTTCTAATGTAGCAAAGACTAATATGAAAAGAAACAATTGCACCATAAAACTGACTAATTAGTGTTATTTAGGCCCCACTAGCTCAGAGGTTATCACAAACTATAGATATTTTCCATGTAAACCTGACTCAAATGTATCTTATCTCATGTTCAGAGCTTAAGTGGCAGTAAAGTCAACAGTCTCGTCACTGTGCCGCCGTGACGACTAACACGCCCCATATTCAAACAATATAAATCAACTCTCGACGTTGAGTGCCCAGACTTTATAAAGCAATAACTGATAAAACTTTGGACTAACATCATTTCCCTTTTTCTTTCTTTTTTTTTTTTTTTCCTCACAATAGTACAAAATTCACCTTTATATTCTTGTAAACTGCACAGAAACTCACTTCCAGGTAGGGGTGCGGAAAAATACTGAAATATTGATTGATTTCCTGACGGACAGAGCTCTGGTCAGGGCGCTGTGTGAAGAGTTGGAGGACAAGTTGGACAAGGGCCCAACTTGCAGATCTGGTCCAAAGAAGCTTTGTTTTGGACTGCAAGTTTAAGACTGAGGAGAATATGGGCAAAGAAAAGGCCTTGGAGTTCACTGCTACTCTTCAGAAGAAGGACAAGCAATTACAAGACCAAGTTGATGCACATAAGGAGACCTGGTACCTGTATAATCATAAAGTACAGGAAAATGTACAACTAAAACAAGAGCTTGCCAACTCCAAAAAAGTCAGGGAAAAAATGAATGAAAATGACTTGGAGTTGAAAGAGCTCAAAGCTTCTCTCCTGAAGAAAGAGAAAGAGCTGGAAAACCAAGTTAGTGCAAACAAGGAGATAAGATGTTTGTATAACAATACAGTGAAAGACACTGTTCAGCTCAAACAAGAGCCAACACCAGTAAAGCCCGTGAGAAAATGAAGATGATGACGATAGACACTCAGACCACTTCTACTGACGTTGGTGGAGATCTAACCTACGAAGAAAATGAGAAACTGTCCAGGAAGGTGCAGGAGCTGTCTTCTGAACTCTTCTCAGTACGAGAGGAGCTGCGTGTCCTGAAGTTTTGTTGTGAAAGAGAAAGAGCACAGCGATCCAGACGCCCAAAAGGAGCGGCCATAGTGGAGGTGCAGAGGAGGGGGCCCATTTTCATCATCACCCATTTTAAATGTGTGCATTGGCCTTTGTTTTGCATTTGTTTGTTTTCTTGGTTTTTCACATTGTTTAATTCACATGCCAGCCACATAGCATAGTGCGGAAATGGGTATAAAAGTATAAAAAATAATGATAAAAGAAATCAAAAGATTGAAATGGCAATGTTCATTTTTCCCCACTAAACTATGATTTATTGCCTGCTGGAATCAAATATAATGCTTACTTTTAGAGAGATTGGAGTTCAAGAGGAAGCCTATGGATGAGCAATTCAGTTCATATTTTTGCACATGTCCAGGAGTATTAACATAAAAAAATGAAATATGAACTGATTAAAGGGTCTATATTACACTATTTTCTGCTCTATGTCATAATGTTGTTTCCTCATCAAAAACACGCCATGGTTGTGTTTTGTTTCATTCACATGTTTAACACACAAACCTGCAAATTTCATATTTTATCATGTGGGTGTCACTGATGAAACATTTGGATTGTTGTCATTAGGGGTGCGCAAAAATATTGAAATATCGTGATAATAAATTTTGTGATACAGTATCGTTATTGTGGGCTATTTTTTGGTATGTTTTCTGTGACCACTCTACCATTTTATTACATCTTTAATGGAAAGAATCTTATATACTTTGTATATTCAGTTTTGTTGATTAAAATAGATGTATTTCATATTAACTTTTTGTATCGCCATATTTTAAAAATATGTTGAGAGCCATGTATCGTGTCTCATATCGAATCGTGAGGGACCCTCCCATCCTCAGCAGTATTTCCAGGCAGGTGCAGCGTTCTGGCTCTATGAACTGTGAAGAACAAGAGAAAATAACTACAATCTCTGTAATGTTTGTGATATTGGCTCGCAGATAGATCACAATCACAAGGACTCAAATCTGTTAAATTACTATGAATTATTCCCAAATTAAAATAAAGCACATTTGTCAAATGTCAAGCCCTGAGCTGGGGGTCATGAGAAAACTTGGAAGATGTAAATTTTATACTTTTTGACTTTTTTGCTGAAAACAACACATCTTTTGAGAAAATAGGCCAAATATCATAATAAACAACTAAAATAAACACAATTAAATATTTTATTTTATTTAAATTATTTCTAGCAGTGAGTCTGGGAACCACTTGAATACTCCAAGTGTATCCAGCACCATTTGCAAAGTATTACTCAATCCCAACACACGTAGAATAAAAGAGGATAGTTTGAAATGTTGGCTGAAGCTTTGCAGTAAATAGTGTAACGTGTGTGGACATTAACGTGCGCTCCAGAGGACACTTCCACATGGACCTCCGCGGAGCCCGTCAGGTTCGATCAACGCATCCCGGGATGAACAGGAGCGGACTCGCCTCTCTGCGTCCTCTCCACACGCCATCCTCCTCTCTCTGTGCGCTCAGCCACACTTTAGCCCATACAGCCCTCATGCCATTACACAGTGCCCTTTTAGTTTAAGCTGTGTCTTTTAGAATGAAGGTCAGGGGCTTTGTACACATGATTTGTTTATAGTGTTCTGATAATCTTTCAGGTTGAATAAAATCAAACTAAAGGTCTCAGATGACAGCGTCCTGAAGTGATGTGGGAATGACATCCAGTAAATTTATTGCAAACCTTAACAAAAATGCAAAGTACAATCAGTTTAACTCACTATTCTGTTTAAAAAAGACACATCTAATAGACTGAAATATTGGTGCTAGTAATCAGGGGATTTCTCAACATCTGACAGATATTACTTCCAATATATTATCCATTATCCTAATATGTAAACCCACAGACCTCTCTTGTTCCGTAAACACAAAAATCAGTACATTATGACAACGACTAACATTTTCTGGAAACATTTAGATTTTATTGTTATAGAGAATTTTACAAAATGTGCTATTCCCTCAAATACTTCAAAATGTTTTCACATGACTTGTGCCAAATAAGTCAAATAATTTCACCATTTTAGACAACTAAACACCGACAACATAACAAAATCAAGTAAGTCACCTTGGCATGAGGAAATGGTTTAAAACTGTTGAAAACGGGTACAATGTGCAGCAGATGCAAAAGTTCAGTCTTAGTAGAAATGGTAGTGCATTTTGTGAATCGAAGGCTTCATAGTGAAATGAAAAGACACTGTCTGAGCCTGAGGTTGTGTGGTGATTGCCAAGAAAGACGACAAAATATTTCTAACAATAAATTCAAATAGAAAAGCAGTGATTTTTACCATCCACGCTCCAAATGCCACGCACAAAATCGTCCAGCAGTCAGTCAGTTACACAGTGGTCCCCTAATTGAACAAAGAAACGCTGGCTTTATGATCCAGGCTCCAAATCTGAAATGTTTATATTGGCACAAATTAGGATTGTTTTGATTGAGGGGAATGCTCTCCTTATAAGTTCATAAACTGGAATATTGTGGATAAGTCACATTAATTCAGTAGTAACTTTAAGTGAAATGCAAATAATTTCTAGATGTTTTAAAGATGTACCCAAAATTAAAAAAAATGAAGGTCTTTGATTTTATCTTTATATTGAATTAAATATTTTATCAACCAGGATATTCCCTCTGAGATTTTGAATCTCTTTCAGGGTGTCCTGGCCACAGAGGGACGCCATTGTACATGATTTTAGTAGTAAGGGAAACCAGAAACTCATGCAGGTTTGAATGTCTTAGAATTAGACTGAAATAATGACATTTTCCACAATATTCTACTTTTGATATGCGCCTGAATTTTGGCCAACTGAAAGTAACATTTGTGCATAATGTGTTTCTAGAAATTTAATCTTCTATACTTTTCTCAATATATAATCTAATCTAGCTATTTATTTATTTAACTTTAAGCACCACGACTACATAACCCCTCAAATCACAAAGAAAACGTACACAAATTCAAGTCATAAACAACACATTTAAAACTTTGTATAGAATAAAATGTACAACCCAAAGTCAAAGGGGTCCAAGTTTCTTTTTAGAGTTTAACACAGCTCTTCCAATGGAGTGATAGTGATATGTTCCTATAGGCAAATATAATGTGCTTTAAATAGCTTTTATTGCCTTTAGTCACAATAGGAATGAGAGAAGAGTCTTGTGTGTAGGTCTACAAGCAGCACTATTTGTTGATGTGTAAAATAATGATATGATAATAATATACCAACAAGGCAAAAGATTATGACCACATGTCTAATATAAAGCTCTGTGCAATCTGAGACAAAAGGACATCTAAGGATCTGAACAAGTCTGATAGGGTCAAACTTTGATGACTTGATTAGAGCATTGAACCTAGAGTTGAGTGATTAATCAAATTTGAATTAAAATTTATTCATTTCTAATTGTCAATGATGAGTTCAGTTTTAGAGCCAATCCTGGGTCAGCAAAAGCATGAGGTTTGGAGTTCAGGAACAAATTTGACCACTTTTTTCTGTTAATAATCATTTAGTTGCATGCACATCTAAATATGTTAGAATATCTCTTAATTGAAGAATAATTACATTCATAGCTCTCATTTCAGTCCTATGAATCCTGGATGCTGAAGTTGCTTGTTTAAATGACAAAAGTCTGATAAATCTGTTAATGTTCAGGAAATAAACACTGAAATCTACTGTATGTGTGTTAATAAGACAAAACGGTAGGATTTATATTTTTATCATATTTCCCTGCCCTAATTGAATCTGTAGTTAAATCTGTCTCCCAATTTGTCCAATGGTGTCGGAGCAGAGGGGAGTGAAGGCTGGACAAATGTGGTCAAAACAGATGAAGTTTGTGTTGCATATTAGACAAATGGTCATATCGAAAATTCTTTTAAAACTGGAAATATTATCATCTTTATAAAGTCAATCGTAAGGAGCAGCTATTCTGGTCAGTAAATACAAAACCATGTACAAAATAAGCAATGTCTGACTGCACAGTTTTGGAGTGTTTGTGTCAATACGTTTTTCCATTTTAGAAAACTTCATATCCTGAAAGTAGCTCTATTAACCAACAGCTTTTTGAGATAATGACAGTTCTTATCCCCCATCTGCTGCCATATCTCTAAGGAAAGACAACTGGCTGAAGAAATGGTTTGTAAATATAGTTCTGACGAGCAATGTTCACGTGGCTGTGAATTGTAGCTAGCGTGAGAGATAGAGTAGATCCTTGGGGCGAGTAATGCCTTTTAAAACTGGCACAAAAAGTGACGGTAATGTCCATTTGTTCTTGTGTGACGCATCCCACTGCTAACAGCAACAGAAACACATTAAAATAGCACTTATAAGGCATTGCCAGCTTATCCCCATGTACTAAAAAGGCCGATCTATCCAATAAGTTAATAAGATGTATTACTATGTCTGTATCAATAATGGAAAATTTAGGACTAATTATGTACAATAAAGTGAGGGACAGTAAAAGGCACACATTTAAACAACTGTTACAAAGATATAAATAGACAAAAAAAAGTTCAAGAGTAGTGTGTGCGCTCCTCCATCTGTGCTTTAATTCATAAGAAAGTGTTCTTCTCTGCAGCGATTTCATAGTATGCCACTAGAGGGCTCTTCACAAGCAAAAGTCCGACTTCGGGTGAGCCGGATTGGGCATGGGACAAGAGGAATAATGGAAATAATGTCAAGATAACCAAGGTATTAAGATTCTATCATGGTATGCCAATAAATTTTTTTCTGTGAGTTTTTATTTCAAGAAAGACAGCTTAATTTTGTGCATTTGCATTGATAAGACTGCCAGATCTTACTACCTTCCAATACCATATTATAATGACATTTCTCCTTAAGTTTATCCCTCTGCCCCATGCCTGTGTGTGTACTCGTCCCATTATATAAAGTATTAGATGATGTCCACAAAGCTGCCAGGGAACAGGCCAGTCCTCCCGTTCCTCTGCAGAGTGCCTTTAAACCAGCCGTCCTCTCGCTTCCGGTGCACGAACACGATGTCCCCCTCCTTCAGCTCCAGTTCGGCCTCGCTTTGGGGCGGGTACGACACCACCACGCGGTACCTGCCATGCCGGGAAAGAGCCACAACAAAGGCTGACATCAGAAGGATAGAGTTACAGTTTCAGTGCGCAGGGCAAAGCGGACAACAATGACACGAAACCAACTCTAGTGCATAGCTGGAAGTCCTGACAATGATTTGAACCACCCACAATTTCAGAGCAATATTCCTTACAGTGGTCACCTTACGCCCTTTTTGAAATGATTTCTATGGTTTTCATTCATATTTTGTCTAAACTGAATATGATATGGAAAAATCTGCACATTGTTGAAGCAGTTAAGTGGACCGGTCTTTTATCTAAAAATAATTAATCCACTTCTGTTGAAATAGCTGAACCACACTAATCAACAGAAGTTATCTTTGTCTGTAAATGTGTTCCACCATGAGACTGATATAAAAAAAATTTACAGAAAGAATAGCAACACTTTGTCCAAAAATCTACAGAATAAACATTAGAATGAACTTAGTGGTTCATTTGTCAGACTAATTCATCACGGGATTTCTAGGGCGCCTTCAACTCACAAAGCTTTTCGGCATGTAGCCAATATATAGTTTAAAGCTCCATGAAGGGAAATTCCATAACAACTTACAATACCTGTCTATTGATAAAATGATGAATTAAACTCAAATTAAAAAGGTAAATATTATTAATTTAATTTTGTTAAGCTACTTAAGTACTTACACTGTTTGATCTTGTTGACCTGAGTACAGATGGAGAGATGTACAAGGCCTATAATTCCTCCTTGTTTACAGGAGTTGTATGAGCAGAGACAGAGTCAGTATAACCTTGCAACAGGTATCTTTAATAAAATGAAGATAAGAACTAAGAAAAAAGTAATTGATTGTATTTCTGTTAGAGGGGTTAGTACATGGAATAACCTGAGTGATGATTTTAAAAAGTCTAACACTGTAGAAGCCTTTAAAAAAAAAAAAAAGTATAAAGCGTTATGTTTTGAAAGATACAGAGCTCTGGAATGAATGAATTACGCATTAAATTTTGTTTTAATTTATATTTTGTCTCTTATATATATAGAGTAAGTCGTAAGTGACATTGTAAATGTTAACTTGCTGTTCATACGCTGTTTTTTTCTTGGAATTTTGTCATTGTTTGATAAGGTTTGGCATTATAAGTACTTTTTACTTCAGCCTAAACCCTTTCGGTCATGATCTCTGGGATTGTAGTGTATGTTTTACTGTGCTGCAAAATGACCGAATAAACTACTACTGCTGCTACTCCTACTACTTCTACTACTACTAGTACACAAACTACTACTACTACTCCTACTACTACTAGTACACAAACGACTACTACTACTCCTACTACTATTAGTACACAAACTACTACTACTACTCCTACTCCTACACAAACAACTACTACTACTACTACTACTCCTACACAAACTACTCCTACTCCAACTCCTACTCCAACTCCTCCTCCTCCTACTACTACTCCTACTACTCCTACTACTACTACACAAACTACTACTACTACACAAACTACTCCTCCTCCTCCTCCTACACAAACTACTCCTCCTACTCCTACTCCTCCTACTATCACTACTACAACAAAATGATTTAAATGTTGACAAACACTGAGAACACACCTCTCACAGATGATGGGCCGTGCGTCGTGCTGCTGAGATGACAGAGAAGAGCAGGGCTGTCGGGGCGGGGGGGCAATGGGGGCACACACCTCCAGTGGGGTGGGTTTTCTGTGGGACACTTCTGGGGCTGAGGAGGAAGAGGAGGAAGAGGAGGCAGCAGGTTCAGGCTCCACGGCTCCGCTCGGGACCGGCGTAGTGTCTGGACCCACCGCTCCCTGCAGCAGGTCTCCCACTGCGGCCTGCTCTCCCTCCAGCGTGGGCGACGAGGGAGGGGAGGGCCGGGACTTCTTCTTATTAGACAGCAGCTTCAATAGACTCTTCTTTTCCCTCTGTAAAGCACAGTGCATTATTAGGAGATGATAGAAGGATAGTGAATATTAAGGATGGCGTGTGATCTCATCCCACAAACTTGCAAGATAAAATTGCCATGAGATTGTGTGCAAAAGTGGAGAGTGATCTCGCAAAATCGTTCCCTGTGTGTCCCAGTTTTTATTTCGTAGTGATGGAACCAATACTGATGCAATATTCTGTGCCAAATCTTTTAAAAACTGTAAAATACAATGTGCATCTAATTCACCCATCTCTTCGAAATTCTGTCTTGTGTGGCTAGACGGTAGGTATGTGCATTCTTCTTTCTTATTGCTTCCATGAATTATTAACCAGTCTTGAACAAATAAGTTAATTATCAACACGATTAACAATTTGCAAATTGGTGACTTGTACGTTGCATTTTCGGCTTAATGATAAATTCTGCAGATTCTTTTTTAGATCCATAATGTACCACTCATGAGACCTACATTAGGACTAAAAATGTACTTACGTATGTTGTAAAAGAGGACATGAAGTTAATTGGTGAGACTAGAATTTACAGAACAAATCCTGTCTACTGCAGTGACCTCAAACTTGCCAGCTACATAACATATTGCGGTGGCTTGTTTTTTGATGCAGAAATGGGTAAAGTAAATGTACAAAAATTATATAATAAATTATTTTAAAAAAGTAAATATTAAAATGGCAATGTGAATGTTTGCTTTTTCCCCTCTAAACTATGATTTTGTTCTCATTTAACAGTTTGGTCTTGGTTAGGGATGGGCATGATTAGTCGATTAATCGATAATTAATCATTAAGAATTTCATCGATTACGTTCATTTTCATCGACAAACCAAATGCAGGTTTCTGTGTGTAGTGTGACCAAACGGGGGTCCGTACATGTAGCTCTCTGCACTCAGAAGGAGCGAGCAAACACAGACAGTCGGTCAGTCTGCAACGTACCGAAGCACAAATGTGTATTTAACGATGACCTGTACAAGAAATTCCATGCTTTCCGTTCTAGTCGGGACAAGTGTGAGGCCATGTGCACAGTGTACAAAGCAGGAACATATGTTTCGGTGTTCAGTGGGAAAAAGCTCACCAGGACACCGAAAACATGAAAAAGCTTTGCCAGGTGAGAATAGCGCAATGTCGTTGACGAGTCCCCACCTCCCACCTCCCGTACGGTGTCTTGGTTTTGACAAACGCAAATATGGTCACATTAACCTGTATTCCAGTCATGTGCTTCAATCCGACAGAAGTTGACCGCATCAGCGCACAAGAGCAGTTTTTTTTTCCTTCGCTTAATTTATGCAATGCATGCCATGCAGTTTAAGTTTTGTTATCAAATATCTTTAGCTCATATCATGCAGCCCTTATAAAATGTATCAGACTACACACTCATTCAATTTTACTCTATGTGAGGCTGCAGGATAGTTTGGTGGTCATATATAATCTGTTATAAATATAATATGTGTAACTGACCAGCACTGATTTTATAACTTCGATCCCTGTTCCAATTGAGTTCGACACCCCTGCTCTACAGCAACCAACAAAAGTTAGATTGATGTTTGATGCTTGTTTTTCATTGCATCTAATCTTTGTACAATGATTGTCTTGTTCCCAAGGTTTAGTTTTCTCCTGTTAACATTTTACAAGAATCAAAACATGTGCATTCCTACACTCCAATACTTGATATGAACTTTATATAACCCCGTGCCTGTCAATAATTTTCCTCGCGTAGAGCCATTTGCGCAATTGTTTTCCTACTGCAGTGAAAAATCCCCTGTGTCAGAGATTATTACAAGAATCTATAGTATAAGCGGCTTTTACGTAACCTACTAACTTGCTGGAAACTTTGTAAGCAATATTAAATAAACAAGTAACATAAAATTAAAATATGATAATATAGATTTTGACGGTTCCTCACCTTGCTGTCCTTGTCCAGTCTGCAGGCCTGGGCAGCGTTGTTGGGAGCAGAGTTGGGGGCAGCGTTGGGGGCAGTCAGGACCGGGATTGGTCTCAGGGCGTCCCCATCCAGTGAAGCAGCGCTGACATTGGGAGGGGTGAGAGACGCAGCAGCACAGCCCATAGCCAAGCCAGCCCTAGAGCAGCCCAGAGGAGAGGGGAGAGAGGAGGGCGGGGCGCACATGGTGAGGTGAGGGAGGAACGCTACGGACGCCCCGGACTGGATCGGGGTCACGGCTGCGGTGGGCCGGTCCTGACTGTGAGCAGCAGCTGAAAATAGCAAGATAACAAATTTATTCAGACCTTTGTTAGTAATGTGCAATATAAAAACCTATATGCATACACATTGAGATTTGTAATAGGTAATGTAATATTATATGTGCTTAAATACATTAAAAAGTTGCAATAGTTGTTGTTAGGAAAATCAGTATCAAGGGTAAAAATAGGAGTAGTTATGGCAGAAGTTCCATGCACTTGACTAGAGTAACAAAAGCAGTGGGTTAAAGTAAAAATGTATTGGCAGAAGTGATTATATTGAAGATGTGCTAGTTGTAGTAGTATGTAGCATGCACTGTTGGGCAAGTTACTTAAAAATTGTAATGAGTTAAGTATTACTTGTTACTGTCATTTCAAAGTAATTTGTTACATTATTGTATTTAAAATGTAAGACATTACGCGACTACTGCAGCACTTTTAAGTTACTCTCACCAAAATAACTATTGCTGAATGTCAAATAACAATCAGCGAGTGAAGATGCCAAACTTTTGCGCCGTACATGGACTGAACAAGGACTGAACCGAGGACTGAACCTGGACTGAACCGAAGACTGAACCTGGACTGAACCGAGGACTGAACCTGGACTGAACCGAGGACTGAACCGAGGACTGAACCGAGGACTGAACCGAGGACTGAACCAGGACTAAACCAGATCTAAACAAGAACTAAACCAGGACTGAACCGAGGACTGAACCGAGGACTGAACCAGGACTAAACCAGATCTAAACAAGAACTAAACCAGGACTGAACCGAGGACTGAACCAAGGACTGAACCGAGGACTGACCCAGGTCTAACCCAGGTCTAACCCAGGTCTAACCCAGGTCTAAACCAGGAGTATATTAGGAGTAAACCAGAACTGAACCAGGAGTAAACCAGGTGTAAACCAGAACTAATCCTGGACTAAGACTTGGAATCTAGGACCGCCCCTGAGAAAACCCTGAGCCCGTGGAGCAGGGTGTCCGCAAAGCGCGATCAGGCGTCAGCTGCGTTTAGCCCTGAAAAGCGCAGAGCTCTGCGCCGGTCTTTTCGCCCGGCATCACCCGACGGTCTATGCAGGCGCACCTCTGGGCCCATCCCAACATTCGGAACCGTAACAATGGCGTTTCACCGCTGCTGATATTGTGGTGATTTTAGCGAATTTGTATAAAGAAAAACAAAAAACCCACCACTTCAATCCAGGTTAAAAATGCATTGTTAATGACATTTGTACCGAGGAAAATATATATATATTTTTCCCCCCTGTAACGCCTTACACTACTGCGTTACAGCAAAAAGCAATGCATTACAGTAATTTGTTACTTTGATAACGCATTACTCCCAACACTGATAGTATGTAATGTGTTTTGTTCAGTTCTTTCACTATTGTCGCATTCAAACTAGGCATTATACAATTCAATAAAGTGCAGGTGTTCACGATCCTTCCATTTGTGTTCCTCATACCTGTGCGGACAGCGTTGCGAGCCTGGTTCACAGTCATCTGCGAGGTGACGTGCATGGGGAGTTTGGGCTGCTGTCCCGTGGCCGTTTGGGATGAGGTGACGATGAGCGCTGGCTGGGGAGCAGGGGGGGCAGAGCTAGTGCACACGACCAGCGGTTTGGTAAAGTCAGGACCAGTGACGATTGTCCCCAGAGGAGCAGGAGAAGGGCTGACGATGGTGACTCCTCTTCCAGCTTGAGTGCACAGAGCCAGGGGCACTTTGGGTTGTGTGCTGCTGGATGCCGTCCTGAGGGAGCAAATGTGACAAATGAGAGGTTACACACTCCCACAGAGAATTAAATTTGTAAATATGTTAAGTATACTTGAATACAGCAATTAAGCTTGATAAGGCCTTGTTAGAAAAATCTCCCTCTAATACGCTTTTGGCATTTGGATTGAAACCTAAATTTTCACAAAGACTGAACAAAAACTAGGCCAAACATCCTATCCTAAATGCCAAATAAACTTATACTGTTTCTTTAGCAAAGTATTAAGATTAAGAAACTAGTACACCTTTGCAAAATTATTTTATAGAATTCTTTATGTCCACTTAAACACACCTATGACCTGAGAGGATCCATGTAAAATAAACAGAACAGGTACAATTTTACCTACGGCAGCCCCAAAGTGTCAAACTTCAGGGTGAAAAACCCACCTGCTGACGGGGCTCATGTAGTTTCCAGGGAAGACTCCGATCTTCCCTGTGTGCATGGAAGTGCCTTTGAACCAGCCATCCTGACAGCGCTCCAAAACCAGAAACATCTCCCCCTTTCTCAGCTCCAGCTCGTCCTCTTTACGAGGCGTGTACGGAAACATGGCCACATATCTACAAGAAGGAAGAAAATCAAAAGCACAGGTTAACATCATTAAGGAAGTTGATTTCATTGAGTAACATGATCAGACAACAGTCTAACAAACTTGTGTAGTCTGTCAATCAGAAACAAACAAGCTTTGAGGAAGATTGCTGAAACAAAATTCCGGATACAATAATTGCAATAGTAACTTCAACCACTAGGGGAGTAAAGCAGTAAAGGTTAATAATTAAACCATTCCAATATAATGAACATCCATCCCTAAGCATGTATGCATTCCAGAAGGTTTTTTTTCTTTGTTTTGATAGTTTGATAGCAATCTCCTTAAATTTTAACCACTCAAGCAAATTATCGATGATTCTATAAGCAATGTGATGCAAAATCCTGTTATTCCAAAATCCAAAAAACAACAAAAACCTTGTAAAACAGCCACATTTTTTCATACTGCTTTATGTTTTTTACAAGGCACCATTTGATCTGTTGTGATATGGCTGACGGGCTGTACATCTGCCTGATCCGCATCAGACCTTGAAGTCTGTGACCCCTGACCCTGAGGGAAGAGGAACAAACTGGGGTCATATCTACAGCAGAGACCAAAATTAAACCCGCAGCAGTCAGGAGGACAAGACGAAAGACATGTTATGTAAGTCAATGCGGTTATTTTTGTGAAAAACAAAAATAACAATAAATTATACTAGCAAAAAATTAAAATGGTGCACAGATGCAGCAGGGATCTTACTACTGATGTGGCTTGTACTGAATTTTTACTTTTTAATTTAAAACATTTGCCAACATTAGAACAGCTAGATTTAAAGCAATGCCACTATGCTCAGATAATTACAAATATAAATCTGATTTATGTATATTTTACTGCTACTAAATAACTTTTTCTAGGATATGTTGAATTGCTTATAAGTAGCCTTTAAATGTGCATTCCTCCTCTGTCATATACCATCACTGCATTTGGCTGTTGGGCACATGAATGTCTCAGAGGAGCTGTCCCGCTAACACAGTCCACAGCGGGGGACAAAGGCACGACTGGATCTAATTCCTATCAGGTGTGTGGCGTCCTGGACCAGTAATGAGGCTAAGGGGGTCGAGAGTCAAAGGTGAGAGAGAGGAGCAGCGAGGGGCCCAGAGAGAGCGAGAGACAGGCTATGACCCCATCACCTGTGCACAAATTTACTTGTGAAACAAAGGAGCAATGGGCGAACATGAAGTCAGAACATGAAGGGTGAGGTTATGCAAAAAAAACAGGAACTTTATGCAGAGGTGGGTGATGATCCCAATGATCTGCTAATTTGGAAAGCTTTTTGGCTCTAAACGCATCATTATAAATGTTTTAATAATCTGTACTAAAATGAAACCCTAGGCCATTTTCTATGGTAATTGGCATACTTGAATAGAAGAGGCTGTCTGTCATCTTCGGTGTGCATTAATGCCTGCGGGGCACCTCATGACACCTCTCTGCTCGTATATTTAGGAAGAGCACATATTTGGACTGTTTTTATAGCTCACACTGTGGGTCTTTGTCTCCCGCTCTGGTCGCTGGTGCTGGGGGAGGGCCTCTGTCCAGTGGCCAATGAGTAGGCAGCTCCGGCAGACGACTGTGGGGGCGGAGGGGGCGGAGGTGGCAGAGCATCCTGGGAAAAAATGACAAAATGGGAAAATTAAATCAACTGTATTTAGTAAACATTTTCCTTGGACCTGGCTTCATGTCCTCGTCCGCCAGTTTTCAATCAGAGCTTGACAATGTTAAAAAGACTCCTATGGCAAAATAACATGTCATCCAAGTTTTATTTTTTATGATTTCATATATTTATATTTATACACTGGTCCACTCCTATCCTAATCCAGTGTTATACAAAACACAAAAATGCATAACCACAGTTTAACATTTTGGTGGGTTGCACTGAAAAATTGTAAATAAGATGTTATGTACATGCTTTTTCCCCAATATATTTGACTGGCTCAATTTGTTATACAGAAAGAAGAAATGGGGTGAAGAGTTGAGGGACAGTCAGCACAAATGTGTGGTAACAAAGCCTGGCATATGTCCTGCAAACAGCAGTAACAAATGTATCAAATTTTAAAGAGTTAAATTCTCATACTAATTAATCTTCATATTTACAGATAAAAAGAAACAACTTGACCCTTCCAAAACAATGGCGTGCCGTGTAAGTCGGAAAACCAGTTTGTTTACAGAAACAAAAGCCGGGAAGAGAAAGAGGCTCATCTGTTATCTGGGCTTGTCCCTCCAGTCTACACACAAAGTCGTGGTTTGGCAGAAGCTATCAACTTGTCCCCGACTTCCCCTCCACACTAAGAATCCCCTAGTGTTTGTTTGCTGCTAGGAAACCACAGAGCGAGATGTTTAAGCCATTTCTGAAAATTTAATTGGAACCATATGAAGCAAAAAACATGTCACTTAAAACGGATCACGGCAGATTTATCTTGACTTGCTCATTTATCCACTGTTGAATGAGGAGACGTGTGTGCTTTTTGGCCACAGGCAAAATTTCATGCCATTGCTTTTGTTTTCAATCACTAGGATTAGCATGTAGTCTGTGTAAGCGATCATGAAGCGCAAGAAAAACACTATGTGGCTTTAAGTGTACAAAGACGACAGCAACTAAAAAGCAAGACCTTTTCAGGCTGACATAATATTGAACTTTACATGTACCATATGAAAGGACAAAAATGACTAAGGTGTAACCTGAGACTAAACCAGGACCAAGGACTTTCCCCAAGTCTAAACCAAAGAATGGGGTAAAAATGAATCCAAAAAAGGAATTTCTGCAAAAGGGGGTAAACCAGAATTAAGACGAAAACATCCAGGTTCCCTATTGATCTAAGACAGGTCTTTACAAAACAAAACCAGGACTAGATCAAGAGTAAACTAGGACTGAACCAGGTGTGGGTTTGACTTCAAGTACACTCTTCTTGGTTTAGCCCCAGGTTAACTGCGATGAAGACCTAATATTGCTCCCTTCCAGTCTTGGCTTACTTCAGGGTTTAGTTGCAGTTCCCATGTGGCATGTGTGGAAGTGTGAACACACAGTAAGTCTAGGTCAGATCTTAAAGGGCCTACATTTGAGTGAAGAACATACTCATATCGAGTCTCCAACAGTCAGATTAAAATATTTGTCCTGACGTTGTGTTTTCTCCTTTTAAACTATATTCAATGTGCTACATATATCAATCTGACATAAACCAAGTTACACAGTAGAAGGTGAAATACTGGAAATCTGCATTGGTTCAAATGAATATAATTGCCTTTCTGCCTTCTAAAACATGTAGGTATTAGGTAGTGTAATTAGGTCTGCTTCTACAATAAACTGTAAACTGTTTTTTTCCTGAACTAGAAGAATTAAAGTACACGCCCTTCAACATGGGCTTAACAATTTTTGACATTTCAATCAGTGGGATTAGTCAGTAGAATGAAACATGGTATGTGGCTTTAAATGTGAAAGCAGGACAACTCCTTGGGCCAGATTGAACCTGGAAAAAAAACACTACTAACGTAAACCAGGACTAAAAACTGGGAGTAGATCACTGCTACCAAGGAATACATGAGTAAGAAGTATACCTAACACAGACAAAGAACAAGTCCTAGCTTCAAGTTTGAAGAAGGAAAGTAATAGCTTCCATGACACACAGGGGGAGGAGAGATGCCTCTTAGTGTTATGAGTGCCTATGTCCACAGGCAAATGTGTGCATGTATGTGATGTAGATGTGCGTTTGGGTTCAGTGCTGGCGCTTGGGCTGAGATAATTAGGCTGCCTGAGGGCTAGAGAAATCATCTGTACAAAAACATCATGTAGGGTTCCCAAGTGAAGCGAGAGCACAACCTTTTGTGAACACATTCCTCAGTCATTCAGAGACTCCACACGCACGCAGACGCAGAGGAAGTGAGGAAACCCAGCCAGAGGGATTTTCTCCACACATTTTTAGCTGCGGGTTTTTATTGAGTAAAGTCAGGACAAGGAAATTTGAAGGGAAGCAAAGTTATTTTAGTTTGGAGAGGACTGAATTAAACTTTGTTGAGAGTGTTTAATAGTGCAATGAAAATGGGGTCGTCTGTCAAAATGAAAAACACTGAGATGACTACAATGGCTTCAATATCATTGCCTTCAAGAACAATAGTTCATTGCATTAATAAATATTTATCCACCTTCTATTACAAGGGATCTAAATTCAGAATACTCGGACCAATTTTTACATTATAGGCTGCAAATGACTTTTGATACCCTATTCTGTTTATTATTATTGTATTTTTGGTACTTATTTAGAGTTCGCAATTTAATAAGGTTTACTTCTTCAATTTTACTGCTGTACAAATGAAGTAAAATATAACTACTATAATAATTTTTCCAATTACTTATACCTTTTTAAAGACTCAGACAGTCTCAGAGTTAAATACTTCTTCTACTTTCCGGAAGCCCCACGAAGCATATTGTTTCCATGTGATCAAAAGACATCTGTGAAGTTTAAGAAGAAGCTTTTTCATTTTATTACCGGCAGCACTTATCCTAATGCCCTGGGATTGTGGTTGACAGCACGCAGCCATTAAAGCCATTATTTGTTTCAATAATTAAAATACAGCTTGGTGTACTCTGCAAGTGTGGTTTGAGCTTTATGGTTGTAATAGTGTAAGACGATACTATTATACGAGTGATGAGGATCTCATAATCAAACCAGGGAGAGGATTAGATAAAGCAGGTCTAAAGCAGAATTAAATTAAAATAAGATTATTATCATTACAATATAAGACTGTAAACGAATAAAGCGCCAAATATAACAACTTTTTAATTTATTTGGGACAATGGCTAAACCAAAAGTAGAGCATTTATACATAAGTCGTTCACTTTCAACCCATGACAATGCTCTATAAGCCCTGGGTAAAGTAGGGCAATTTCTCATACATACCACTGGGATGGATGTGTAACTCGTCTCTGATGGAAATGTAAAGACTGTTGCCGTGGTGACAGGACTGCTTGGGGGTGGGGTCACGATGAGGCCAGTCGTGCAAATGTGAACCTGAGAAAACAATGGACAAAATTCACTTAGCTTGTTCCATCTATCTAATGTCTTGTTTGATTTGGACAATACACTTATTTACATATGAAAATGTGAATTTATTAAAATAGTTGCTGCCCTTTAAGTATTAAAAACAAATTACAAAAGGCTTTTCAATGTTCTTTACTTAGTGACCTAATACTTTGATTGGACGGCAGGCATCAGGTGACTGTCAAGCAAGATATTTTACTGGTAGCCCTTGAATAGCAGTAATCAAGTGAGTCAGAATGGTGTCCAAGAAACAAGGCCTTTAATGTTGGACACTCAATACCTCCCAGAAGTCCATGCATGACTGCTCCACACAGGCCGCCTCTCAAGGTGAAGCAATTTCTACCTTTGCTATAATGAGTTTTTGGACTTGTGCCCTAAACTAAAAATTAACCCTGTAAATAATTATCCTTGGTTCTTAATGCTAGAGAAAGAAATGAAAGAAAAAGCTTCTTGTTTCACAAATAATACAGTTATAAATAATTCATTTACATTTACTTTAATATTTGCGAAGCTGTGGGAGAAATAAATAGACCTGTCTAGTTGTAAGCTTTTACAATACGGTCTAATATAAATGCAAAAAGCAAAACATTTACACCATCTTGAGAAAAGCAGTATACTTAACCAATGTTAAAGCATCTTTTCATATTTTCTGGGATAGAACATGGTGGAAAAAAACATTGCCCTATTCACCTTTATTACGCAGAATATTATGTTATGGTAAAGGGAGAAATCATTCATCGTTCACAGTGTTGTGGAAATGGGAGTGGCTTTGTTTTCCACGACAGACAGCTGAGCCCCTAGGCAACTGGGGCTTACCTTTGTTGTCTCTGTCTGAGGAGAGAAGCAGATAGAGACCAAAGATACTCTCCAATGTTTTATTAAGCACAATAAGATCCATATCAAAGAAAATGCGGTCAACTAGGGGATCGCTTACAGGTGTCGGTGCAAGCTCCTGTAATTCTGTGAGCACACGGACCGTCATTAGTGGGAAAGAGCTGTCTGAGCACATTAAATATGATTATAACTTAGGCAACAGGGCAGAAGGTACTAATGTTTCGTCTACATGGGTTTGTTAGCATGGTTATCTGCTTATAAAAATACACCGCATCCAACTTTTCAGACAGCAGATTTACCACTATAATGTCAGAAGAGATGCTAAACTTGAGATTGATTGGTTTAAGATCAGCAAATTATTTAAATGTAAATTATTTAGTTTTATTAAAGCTTTCACCATGGAGCGTGACCATTCAAATGTTAATGAGACCGTATTTAAATGTTTACATGTTAAGTTTCCATGTCCAAAAATTTCACGCATCTCTTGTGTAAAATGTAAAAAGGAACTTTACGAGAACCAGTCCACAGTTATTAGCATATTTCTGTCACTGCCTAATGCATACTACTGCCTAACCCAGAGTCTGACCCCAGCTTGACCATATAAAATCAAAATGAAAGGATCAGATAGAGGTAAGTTGGCTACATAGTTGACCTTCGTCTGTCTTTGCCTCTGCCTATTAAAAACCCACTCAAAGCAGATCTGCAGTGGCCGTAAAGCAGCTGTGAGTTACTGTAATTCTGGGTTGGTGTAGGGAGAGCTGGAGGGCGAAGCTGCAGTCGTTTTCGAGAACGAGTGGAGTCACGCAGGCGTGTCTTCAAATACATCCAACGGTTCACCATCACAGGAGAAAAGGACATCCGACAAATTCAGAGAAATAATAAGCCTATAAAATAATTAGAGCTAAAACGTAAACAGTTGTGCTTCTCGATCATGTATTGGCTGTTTTTTGTTGAGTTATGCAATTACAAGCCACTGAACAGCAAAAGTGAGTCATGTGGTTTGAAGTCCTTTTAACCAGTTCAGTGAGCTAAAGCCACAACATGCCTAGTAAAATGTCTATAAAGAGCAAGCCCTTTACAATCCTGAGCACTTTCATGTCTAACAAGCAAATGTTACACAAATAGATAAATGGAAATTGGCATGTTTTACTGTTCGGGAAATGTTTTATCCAGTCAAAACTTTTAAGATTTTGTTCATTCCAGCGGTTTTGATGATCACATAGTTGTCAGTTGTGCTGGCATCAAAAAAATTCCCCTTATTGGGACTGACACAACTGAAATGTATAACGTAGTGTAGTGTAATCTACAGCACAGATATGTACACTGCTACATTTAACACAACCAATATTTAGATAGTCCTTCATTAATTCAAAGATGAAGTTTATAAATGAATGCTGGAGCTCACAGTGTTCTCATGTGCATTTTCTTGTATTACTTTCAATATGTTCAGCGGTGATGACATTTAAAGCTCCATGACAACTGCAATAATAACACACAAGTCAATTTTTTCAATTTTAGTCACAAAACAAAAAAAAACAGAGTTAAGTTCCCTGTGGCATTGAGAATGGGCAAAGATGTAGATCCAGTAGTTCAGCTCTTAAGCCATATAAACAGAACACAAATCTGCTAATCTGATTAAAACACATGTAGTTTGAACTGAGTGTGCGCTCCTCTCTTCTTGTCGGCCGTTACCTGTGACGGCGCACTGCAGGACAGCCCTCCGGTGATCTCCCCGATTCGGGCCGCCGCCGTGGGGTTACTGGAGCTGATGAGGACTGGCCCGCTGATCTCCATGGAGTGCCTCTGGGGGGGCGGGGCCAGCATGGGCTTGTGGGACATGGTCAGAGAGGTGAAGGAATGTCGCTTCTTGCTGTTCTTCTTGTCCCGTGGGGCCCCGTTGGTCTGGGGCCCGGATGAGGCTCCTTCTCCAGAGTCCCCGCTGGAGTCCGGTTTGTCCAGCTCGATCAGCTGCCGCGCTGCTGAGTTGAACTGCGGAGGTCAGGGGCGCAGAGAGGGAGAGTTAGAGGCGAAATGGTCATGATTTACACTTAAGGCTCCCATAAAACTGAAATAACTGATGACATTTCTCCATGATGAATAGTGTTTTGTATATTTTTCTTTATAATGCAATGTAGGTGTAGATGTAGTAAAAAGTTAAGCGCTTTCTTTGGTTAGAAATAAGTATGTCGTGTATCAGACAATAAGATTAATATAACATCCTTCATGCCTCTGCTGCTTGTCGCCATGGCAAAATAAAGTTTTTACTAGATGCACTTCTGACACAACTTATGTGAGGTGAATGGCTCATCTATTGAAAGTGTAGCCTTTAATGTGAGCGACAGATGAGTTATCTTTTCATAAATTATATAACAGGTATTAGAAAACTGGTATATAGAATATTAGAAAAGCTTCAAATGTTAGAAAAGGTTCAAACATAATTCAAATGGGGGCATAAACTCTATAAAAATATGAAGTCTCCACATAATAAGTCTGAGTGCACTGCTGTTACAGATCAAGGCTGAAGCGGCCGCCTCTGTGACCCTTTCAGATGCTGTAATGTGTGACTGCGAGGTGAAAATCAAAGAAGCTGCACTCAAAAGGTTGGAGCTAATCACAGGGCGCTCCCTCTCTCTTTTCTCCCTCTCTCTCCCAGTCTTCTCTTCCCTCTCCCATTGCTCCTCTCACTACATTTCCTCCTTCTGTCTCTCCCTCTCCCTCTTTCCTCTCTTCTCACCCTCCCTTTCTTCAACTCTCCCTCCTTCTCACACACTATGCCCCAGGCCGCTCCCTCCACTTAAAACATAAAAACTCCTGAAACTCTGCTTTGAATCCCAGACAAACCAGCGCAGGTTCACCACGACGCGCCGGGCGGGATTAGGTGCAGATACAAGGTGAGAAGGCATAAGCTCATTACGCTGAAGAGCACATTTAACGGCACTTGCAGATTAGCGTCTCGCCAAGTGAAAAAGCAACAAAGACGACGCTGGCAATGACAGATCTAAGCTCTTCTCAGGTTTAGGGAAAGCTTATAAGTGGATTTCGTTCTGTTTAGAATTGTCACATCAACAAAATACGGCCATAATTGTCTTTCGGTAAACCATCAGAGCTGTGTGGAAGCAATTTGTGCTTATGGCTGGGTGATCATTGCAAACTGCAAACAATTAGCTTAATCACATGGTCTTACATTAGTGGGAGTTGAATAACCAATGAAATATATATGTAAACTCAAATATAGCAGTTAACCAAACATGCACATATTATAGCAGGGCTGGTAATAAAGGGTCTCAAGCCTTAAACATGCAAATAAATGTGATTTATAGCACAAGAGGAGTTGAAAATGGCTTTGGAAAAAATGGCAAGATATAGTATAATAATAATATATAATCTAAAAAGTATTTTCCAGCACTTTATAGCGTATCTGACATCTAGACTATTAAGATATTAAGGCTTTGACATGATATTTTTTCAATAGTGGTTTAACAGTCAGCGAAAACATATGAAAAAGCAGGATCCCTACATGAAGCACAGTATAATCCTATTGCTTTTAAAGGGGCTATATATGCCTCAGGGTGTGGGACTGTCAATGCGTAAATCTTCAAAGACACGTTTAGTGCCTGTATGAAATATTGAACACATCTCCGAGAAGCCCAACTCTTACCTCAACGTATGAGATGGGGAAAATTCCAATTTTATCTCCCAGCATTCCCTCTGCCCAGTTTTCATCAACTCTGCGGATCACCGTCAGGATATCGTCCTGGAATTCAGACATACACAGACTTAGGAGAGGAAACACTTGTAATCTGACTTTGTTTAATTATGACTAGGAACTCCCTGGTGACCTGTTACTTCTTTTTGAATAATGTGATGGGAACCAGCTTGTTGTAAACCCTGTTGATGTGGCTTGTGACTTATCAATGAAATAAACACAAGATACTGACTTTTAAAAAATGTCCTCCCTCTTTTACTCTACTGTTCTGGTATTCGGCCACATGACTTGCTGTATGCTGTATCTTAAAGCAGACCTATTATGTAAAACCAACCTTTAAAGATTGTAACCATGTTATATTTCCTCTCACCGTTTACTCACATTTACCCAAAGCTGTATTTGGAATGATTTGTACATGTTTGAGCATCTTTAATCGCTTATTTTCAAGACGCCATTTTGCCAATCAACTCCCGTTTTCACCGCTACCTGTACACAGCCAACACTCTGTACTTTATTTTCTTAATCTGTAATAAGCCTAGGATTCAATAGTCCTGCTTTAGTCGTTTTAGATTAATATTGCAATGTAAAATTATAATAATCCACGGGTGTCATAGTCACTGTATAGCATACCCAAGTGTCTTTAAAGTTGTGATGTGGCAGTTAAGTCAAAAACCTTGACAGTAACTTTCTCTAAAACCTCTCAGTTCTTTTACCACAGTCTGGCGGTCTCTCTATCAAATCTAATTATAGACATTTATCAACACTTGCCCAAATCTAAACACTTTCTTGAGGCGTTTGAGCTCCCAACCCTGAAATTTTCACAATAAAACACACAACTTCAGAAAATGAATGTCTGTTTGACTTTAATGAGAGGTATTTTTATTTTACTACTTTGACACGTGGCAGAAACGGGAAAAGCTGTGAACAACTGCAGTGTTTCGTTTCAAAGGTAAGAATTTATTTTTGATCCTTTTATTTTGAAGTTTATGAAAATGTTGCTATATTTTGTTCAATCCTGTTAGGTTAATTAGCCAGAATAATTCATAATAAATAGGCTGTAAAATTTATCAAAGGCATACATATCAATTGGAACCACTGGTGTTTTGCGTACCTTAGAAAATGGCAGACAATCTTTATCCGCTTCTTTGTCTTTGAGCTCAAAATCGTACAGAGCTTTGCACTGAGGTGGAGGTTGCGGCAGCGGCTTGATGACCTGGACAAAGTTGGTTGGGAAGAACCCGTGGACTCCCCCCATTTCGCCATGAAACCAATTCTCATCCACCTGGCGTCGCAGAATGATGATGTCCCCCTTGCTGAACTTGAGGTCGCCTGGTTCCTTGCCATCGTAGTTGTAAAGAGCTTTTGCACATGGGAGCTGAGGTACACCCTATAAAAAGGAAAAGAGAAAGTGAGTGAGATGTGGAATGAAAATGAAGACACTTGTCAAAACGTGGTCTCTTGATACTGAGAACCTGAGCAGCAGCGAGACAGCCTTCAAACTAGAAAGAGGGCCAACTTTGGAAAACATGCGCTTTTATCAAGTTTGCGACGACAAGGGGAAATGGAGCATTGTTAAAAGTTGAAGAACTCATACAAAATTCAACACCAATGAGAAAGAGACAATGCAGTTTGGAAAAGTAGAGGAGGTGGCTTTTGCAATATTCAAAAAGGGGTGCAAAAATTGAAATTAACACATCAAAATGTATGTCACAAACTTCAGTGACATGACGGCACCTTGCAATGGAACAGGCCATACTAACCTAGATCGAAAACAAAAAGCAATTATGTTGAAATCCAATTCTAAAGATAGCAGGACTTTATCTGTACATTACATTTCAGAATATTGTCAAGATTAAAACAAGCAAGCCAATTCCACTTCTTTAATCAACTTTTACAAACCAGAATTTTTACTACTGCCACCGACTCCTTCTTGAAGAATTGGTAACAGTGTTAGAGTTATATGCAGCTTGTTTTCTTTCCCATTTTCATGAAGCCCTAGCTCAATCACAGTCTCACAGAAGCAGAGATTAGCCGCATTAGCAGTCCCGTCACTGCCTAATCGAGCTCACAATAAATCACTTGATGTCCTGACACTTCAGAAAAACAAGTGTGCACAATTAAGCCTCTGTGTGATTAGCAAGAGTTTCTGAGCCTTTTTATTTCTGCTGCGATCGTTCAAAGATGTGCGCTTGTGTGTTGACAGTTGAAGGCTGATGAGCTGCGCTGGTTGTGACTAGCTGACTAACGCCTTCACTGGCCCCACGGCTCTGCTCCTTTATTTGAGTCCGGACCCCTGAAAGACCCATTCAGCGCAGTGACAATCCCGGGGAAGAGGGAGCATGGGTAGGGGGAGCTGCAGGATAGACAAGCATCAATGTTGTCCATTCAGGAAGGGTGTCCATGAAGAAGGCACAGGTCCAAAGCAGCCCCCACAGTTTGTCCCAGAGACATCCTCGGAGTGAGCAGAATCACAAGCACCAGCACCTGACTGAGGCACCACTGCAGTCAAGTTCACAATAGAGGGCCAATAATACCAACATGGATTTTTACGAGGGTACTGTTTCTGCTTGTTTTTGTAAGAATTGTGGAGAGGTAGATAATAACATGAACTTGAAAAAAATTGAAGAGAAGGCAGGAGACGGATTGTATCACCTCCTGAAATCAGTTGGTGAAATAGAGTTACAGGAGCTCTTACGAAGAAGACTACAGGATTACTCAAAGTGGAAGAATGAAACAAAACTCCAGCACTCGATATGGTTTCAGTGTTAAATACGTTTAACAAAAATGTCAATTTATTTCGTTACATGCGTCTGTTCAAATGAGCTATTGGGCTGCTACTTTTCACTCAACACAGTCCTCCCTGTAGGTTGGCACTCTCCATAACTACAACTGAAAGCCCTGCTCCTCGCTTTCATGTCTTCTAGTTCAGGAAATATACTCTTAGCAGTAGGAAGTGTTCTTTATCTTAGTGTAATTAGCAGACCACAAAGAATGGTGTGTGAAGCGCCTTTATCAACCTGTCATGTGTCACGCTGTACACATATTTATTGTCAAAATTACCACTGCCTCCGCACATACCCTCATGAGTGTCTGAAAAAGATTATCGAGTATATTTTTAGTTTGACATTAGGAGGAAGTGAACTTGAAGCCTATATCCACAAAGACAAAGGTGATGTGGAGGAGGTCAGGGAGAGAAAGAGAGAGAGGGCCCAACACAGATTTTGGAGCAATGGGCGCAGTCCTGTTAAAGTCTAATGAAGCGTTTAAAGAGCGAGAGAAGAAAAGTGGTGCAGGGCAGTGATGCTGAGCCAGGCTGACATGAGCCCTTTGCACACAGCCTCGAGCCGACATTTTCAGACTTTCACACCAAGGAGACCCACCTATGTAATGTGTTGCATCAAGCATTAAATTAAGACTAAATTTTAACTGAACAAACTAAAATCAGGAATTAACTGCCCTAGCTGTCACAAACCAAACCAGAACAGAAATAAAATAGGACTAAAACAAGTTTAAATCACATTAAGCAACTGTTACTCCATCACAACAAAAATTAAAATGTCTCTCTAAAGAATAAAGAGGGAAAAATCTATTAATACTTAAAATGATAAGAAAATACTGTGCACCACCAGCGCAAACTAGTGTACACCCAGTCAGCCCCATGTACCACTGTTAAGAGAACTAACGGCTTACTATTGCAAAAACCCAATCTGTCAGTTCTACCAGCACCCAAGACTTGTGACAGAGGGGAGAAGGGTGAGTCGTGCCCCCCAGCACACTGCACTGGAGCTGGGCCTCTCTTTCAGGCCGTACTGGGGAAATTGTGTGGAGGAGGGCGGCTAATGCTAATGAATGCAGAACCATTTGTTACCAGTGACACCTCGAGTTCACAGAATCAATGGGATCTGATTACACGGTGAATATAAAACGCTCGTCCGCCTCGCACTGCACAAATGGAAGTGGCTGCTTATTCGGTCGCTCAATGTTTTATTATTGCTGGGATACAATGTACAATGTCTAAAGTCAGAGTGGTTACGCAATAGCATTTGAATGTGCTGGAAGTGGTTATACTCATAAAAATGTGTTAAGCAAATTCAATTATAAAAACAACACTTCCCACTACAGAGAAAGCTGGACGTGCTAACTGAACAGAGGCTAGATTAGCAAAATATGATTGAAAGTGTCTAATAATTATTTTGATATGTTAAGTAATTTCAAAATAAAGTAGTATATGTAAGATTTATACTAGCTGCATTATACACAAACTAAAAAAACTTGCTACTGTAGATGTTAGAATGTTACACTGCAACAATTCACAGGTTTAATCTAATAGTTTACATCACAAATAAGATACTGTTATGATTATCGTACTGTTGATCTTGATCATTTGTAATCTTGACATCCGTAGCCATAAGCAATTGTATACACAGCTTACTCCATTGCAAAGTGAATAATGTAGTGAAGGTTGGAGATGACTGGAGGGCATGCTTCCCGTTCTGCTGTCACTGCGGTGAATCTGCATGAGCCTGAGCCATTAGTCCTGACCAAACACAGCCCTGGAGGAAACAAAGGGCCAGAGATGCAAAGAAGACACTAACACACTAATACACAGACAAATGACCTCTGACCTCATCAAACATTCATTCACGCATGAAGCTATCTGCAATTCTCTAATGCACTGAACAAGCTGGTCTATGATTTTATGACGATGCCCATCTGTGGTTTAAATGTAGATAAAAAAATTAAAACAAAATAAATATCAAGTCTGCAGTGTTTCACACTTTGGTTTGGCAATGCCCTCTTCATCCAAGCTTCGGACTGCACAGCACTCCTTTAAAAATACATCAAAATGTCTAAAAATACGCAAAATTATTCAAAGTTAATTGCTACTTCCCTTCATTGAAAATCCCACCATGTGTGCGTGGGAAACACTTAATTTGATCCAAAAGTTAATGAGGACAAAGGCAATTAGTCTGGCCAAAGGCTTAGCGAATCCTTCTGCTACTTTGCTAGAGAATTATTAATTATTTTCTAACTGTATCATTGGCTTATAGAGACATTAACTAACACTAAACATTCATTTAGCATTTAGCACAGGATAATGTTCGCGTTTTTATCGATTGTGAAGCCAGATTGCAAAACATACTTAATATTCAACTTGGCACCTCACATAGATTCAATAGGATTAAAGTCTGCATTACATGTGAATATGATCTTGCATGCTTCCAAAACCTATTTCAACCTGAACATTCGGTATATTTAGATAATCTGCTGACCTCTTTCGTTGACGTGTAACTAATAATGCTAAGTTTGACCTGACCAACTAAGAAACACTTCCCAATTTGCTTAATTTTATATTTTGTCTGGATAGTGATAGAGCCTCATGTGTGGGTGCCCAGGCTCAGATGGTGTGTGCAGTCTCTCCTGTATTGTAGTTAATGCATTTAGAGCTGTGTGCTAAAGGGATTTGGCTGCCAGGGCTGTCTTCACCAGCTCAGATTAGAACTGCATTATAGAGTATTCAGCAGTGCCTCCAGACACCAACCACCGCTAACAGCAACAACAGGCATCAAGCAGGTCTACTGAAGGTGCAAGGAAGGGACAATTGACAATAACATCATAAATGGCACTAATGAGCTAAATATGCTAAAGACCAACGCTGAAGGTTGAAATTTAAAGGCACAAATCGTGAGTAGATGGAGTGACAATCCACATCACCAACATTCAAAAACACTAGTAGAGATCAATCAATATGGGCTTTTCCATGGCAAAAGCCGATATTAACTGTTTAGAGTCAAGAGCAACGATGGCTGATAAGCTCTGGTGATATTTTTGGGCCAAAATGTGGGGCAGATTTAGATCATTCATTAACTTATGATATAAAGATGGGCCGATGTGTTTTTTCCTGGTCGTTGCTGATTGTTTAGAATCTAGAGAAACTGCTGAGATCTGCTGATATAGTGTTTTATAGCGGTGTGCAAAAATATCAAAATATTGTATCGTTTACTGTGAGGATACAGTATCAATATCGTGGGCTGCTGTATCAATACACCGCCAAAAGTATTTTTTGCTATATTTTACTAAACACATTTGACATATTCACTGTTTTGAGGATTAAAATGGGTGACTTTTAGTATCACAGCCATCATTTAGCCATTATTTTTTTACTGAACCATATTGAATTGATTTGAAATATACCATATCAAATCAAAAGTGCACTGTATCGAGATATGTACTGTATCGTGGCCTAAGCATTGGGGTATGTATTTTATCGAAAACTTCTTAATGATACCCAATCCTAGTGTTTTATACAGCGTTTTTCCAAAGAAACTCAAAGACGATTTACGTAGGCAAGAATTTGTCAGAGAAGGACAAAAAAGCTATAATATA